TCTCCAGAAGCTGCTTCTCATTTTCCATCCCAAGGGTTGGACTTCTCCTGAAAAGGATCCTGCCGGTCTTACAGGGGTGCAGGATCTGTAATTCTGAAGTGTAGCCCAGAATTTCCTGGTGGCAGGAATTGTACAAGAGGACAAAGAGGAAGCTGCCCAGAGAAGCTGTGGCTGCCCCATCCCTGGAAGTGTCCAAGGCCACGTTGGATGGGGTTTGGAGCCCCCTGCTAGTGTAAGGTGTCCATGGTAGGGGGTTGGAGGAGATGGTCTTGAAGGTCCCTTCCAACCCAAACCATTCTGTGGCTGCATGATAATGGATGCTGGACACCCTCCCATGAACTACTCTTCTCACCAAGCAGGGCTAAGGCACATTCCTCACAACAGGACAGGGAAATATGGCAAATAACCCAGACTAGGCACTTTTTTAGCTACAACTGCCTCTGCCAAGTCCTAATTCTTATTTTTCTCTTTCCATTCTTCTCTTGGATTTCCTGCTGAGTCTTATCATGTTCTCCTTCTCAATGTCCTCTTTAGGCAATATGCTCAAAGTCTGGGTTACTGTCAGAATTTCTGGTTGGAATTTGTTATTCCTGTTACAATGCCATATAGTGCTCCCAGACCTTCTCCTTTGGTCATCTGAACAGCTGATCACTCTGTGTTAATCATCTGAGAGAATGTCACCCCATTCTTCACTCTGGATGGTCTTATGTGGATCTCAGTCATCCTTAAAAAACAGACAGTACCTCTGCCTGCTGCTGGGAGTTTCACTGCAGAAGTTTTGGCCATCAGATGAGAAATTGCTTCAATTAATCAAATTTTCAGTGAGCTTCCAGAGACGGCAGCTGTACTTTCTGTGTTCATACCTGTGGCAGTTGACCCTGAGAAATGGCTCCAAGAACACTTTCTGTGTCTCAGGTGAGCAGTGAATGCCCTGAGTGCTGCAGGCATGTGGCAGAGTAGAACTGGTGCCTAGTCTGCACCTCTCAAACCCACTGGACTCTCACTCACCTCTGCTTACTAGGGCAAGGGATCCCACAGAACATTCTTTGCTGGAGAATCAGAAAGTGGCCAGACATTCAGAATATCCAGGGGATCTTTCTGCAGGCCAGAGGAAGGGAAAAGTGGCGGAAGAATTATATGTTGTAATTTTCTGTGTGAAGTGGTTACTGAGACACCTGTCAACGTGTCCCACAGTGGCAGCATGTGAACCCGTCAGCCTTAACTGTCCCATGCAGAAAGGGTACAGAGTGGACAGGGAAATCTGAGCTGTGGAGAGTCACCTGCACAAAACCTGATGTTTACAGCAGCTGGAAATGAAATGTCATCCTGCATGCGAAAGGTGTCTCTTAGCAGACTATCTGAATGATCACAGAATTCTTTGGGTTGGAAAAGCCCCCTGAGAGCCTCGAGTCCAACAGCTCTCCCAGCACTGACAAGGCCACCACTAACCCATGTCCCAGTGCCACATCTACGATAGCAATGCTCATGCCACATTCACTATCCTGCAACCAATCCCTTCCCCTGGGTTTTTATTCAAAAGGTAGCAAGCATAAGGAAGTCTAAAACAGAGAACTTAAAAAAAAAGGACAATCAGGGTAAGGTCTAATTAAGGGGGAGAACCATGTGCTGCCCTTGACTTTTACTTCCCCCGCACACTGATTTTAGAAATGCACTCATCAATCTCCTCTTCCTCACTAAGGCTACAAAAATCCAGCACATGGGGCCTGATAGTGTCCAGACGTGTCCCATGTAACTGTAAAATGCAAAGAATTCCAATCCTGCAGGGTTTGGAGGTGAATTTCCATTGCCTGGAAAGTTTTGGTTGCCAGAAAAAATATGTCTAGAACATGGGTGAATCTGTCCTGAGCCACAACCCTGCTCTGACACAAGCATACAGACATTTCCACACTTACAGAATCTCAGAATCAGAGACTGGTTAGAGTTGGAAAGGACCTTCAAACCCATCTTGTTTCACCCCCCTGCCATGGGCAGGAACATTTTCCAATAGACCAGGTTGCTCCCAATCCCATCCCAGCCTTGAACCTTCCAGGGATGGGGGAACAACAACTTTTTCCTTTGGCATGCAATTTCCCCTAAACCATATGAAGAGCAAGACCTTTTTCCCCCTCAGAATACTCCTATTGCCAGGTCACAGCAAATCCAACTCTCTTTTTACCCCTCAAATGCAACTATAAAGTCCCTCAGGTAAACAGGAGTGACACCAAAATGAAAACAACTTTCTCTCCCTAAAATGCAGCTCCCATGTGTCCATCTAATGGGGTTGGGACACACTGTGCTCTCCTGCCTCCTGATCCAGGGAGAACATCTGCACAGGGAACTGGGAACTGGTGCTCAGCACTGCTGACACTGTCACTGCTCTGGTTTGGGGTAGTTTCTGTTACTGACCTATTTTGGCTTCTCTTGCAGCTGAGTTTATTGCAGCTTCCACAAATTAGATGTTTTCAGCAGCAGAAGGATGTGATTAGTACTTCTGTTCCTTCACAGGTGCCTCTTCCCTTTCTAACTGGTCCAGATGGAGAACCCAATCCTCAGGCCAGGCAAGATCCACAATTGACCCCTATTGACCCTGGCCAATTTAGAGTGAGCAACACGGAACCATCCCCTTCCTGTCCTCACACACAAGTCCTGAGGTCTGTCAGGCTCACACCTATGGAAAACTCAGCAAGTGCTAGCCCGTGTGCCTGTGCACACCTGTCCACACGCATCTGTCCATGCTCCTGCCTGTACGTGCACGGCTGTGCCAGGGCTCGTGGGCCGTGTCAGCACTCAGTGCACACCCAATCCCTGTGTGTGGAATGCAGGGGCCTGAGGAGCTGCTTCCCAGCTCCTGCCCACTGCAGACCTAGGCCCTCACAGCACATCCTCTCTCTCCCAATCTCCTGAGCATACATCCCTACAGCATTCCTGGTCCAAACAGGAGATTGCCTCGGGCTTTGTTATGGGGAGCTCAATCAGGCTGCAAAGGCTCTTCCCAAAGAATGAGGCTAAGTTTGGGAATATCTGCTCCTCAGGAATTTCTCAAAGGGGAGCAGACACAATTGGTTGATCTGAGGACAGAAGGGTTCCTTCCCTTGCCATCCCCGACACTGCGGGGACATTCCCTTCCCTCACCATCTCCAGTCCCTGCTGCCAGCACTGGGACATTCCCTTGCCCCCCTTGCCTCTCTCATCTCCTGTCTCTCTCCCTTCCCGCCATCATGGCGTGACTGGGAGCTCGGCCACTGGAGCCTTCCCGCATAGAAGCAGTAACCCCCTGCCCATGGACTGCCTATGGAATTCCCTGTCCCAGACGCCGGGTGCTCAGTCCTGTGCGGAGGAGCAGGACAGGCCCTCCCCAGCCCTTGCCCTCCACCTCAGGCAGCCATACAGGTACCCCGGGAGGTACCTGCCCTTCTCCTACCTTACCAGGGAAGCCGGGCAGTGGTGGGTAGGTAGTGGGTCACTCTCTGGCTCAGGCGGCCATGCAGGTACCCACGAAGTCTCCACCCTTCTCTACCTTCCCAGGTGAGTTGGGGCAGGTGGTGGGTCACTGTCTGCTCACTTGGACGTGCCTGCAACCTGATTCACCTGGGAGCCAGGCAAGCGAGGCTCCACCCAGGGCAGAGCGGGGGTGAGTAAGAGCGAGAGAAAGGCAAACTCCGGAGAGCTGTTCCCTCCCCAGGCGCGCAGGGAGCCAGAGATAAGGGCTGCGCATTCCTGAGCCGCCGGAGGCCTCTCCCTTCCGTCTGCCCCGAGCCTGTCAGACCAGCTCGGGGCTGGCAGCGGGGCAGGGCTCGCCGCAGCCCCGGTCCTGTCCCGGCCCGTGACACGGACCCCAGCCCAGCCCCGGGCCCAGACCTCGGCCCCCAGCCCCGGGCAGGGCCCCTGGCCGCTGGCCCTAGCTCGGTCGTGGCCCTGCGGCTCCCAGGAAGGGGGATTTGGGCTCCTCGGGCACTTCTGGTGCTCTGGGCCTGTCGGAGACAGACGAGCAGCAGCTCCTGGGCAGCGGCACCGTGGAACAGGAGGGGCCGGGGGCAGCGCCCTCTCCCCTGCGGCGGGACCGTGTCCCCGGGGGTGCCGTGGAAGGGGCTCTGGGGAGACAGCCGTGGCCTCCCGTCTACCCTCATCACCGTCCCCGCTCCCGCAGCCCCGCGGGCAGGGAAGGGTTAAGCGAGATTCCCCGCAGCCCCGGGCGTGGCAGCGCCTGTTCCACCTTTCATGTCCCAGCTCGTCCCGCCCGGCCGCCGCCGCCGTGAGGGCCGCGCCGGCGGTGACTCAGGCGGGGCGGGGAGCGCGGGCTGCGGGCTCCCGGCGTGAGGGAGGGACGGGGGGCCGAGCACCCCGCGCCGGGCACGGCTCGGGTGTCTGCAGTGCGGGGACAGCTTCGGGCTCCTCACGGAAACGACACTGAGGGGCTGGAGCGTGTCCCAGGAGGGAGCAGAGCTGCCGAAGAGTCTGGAGCAGCGGGCTGAGGGAGCTGGGGGGCTCACCCTGGAGAAAAGGGGTTCAGGAGGGACCTTCTCGCTCTCTACAACCCCGTAACAGGAGGGTAGAGACAGGCGGGGTCAGGCTCTGCTCCCAGGTAATAAATGACAGGATGAGAGGTCATGGCCTCAAGCTGCACCACAAGAGGTTTAGGCGGGATATTTGGAAGATTCCTCTCGGAAAGGGCTGTCCAGCCCTGGCACAGCTGCCCAGTCCCCATCCCTGAGGAGACTGAACAGTGATGTGAATGTGGCACCTGGGGACAGCGGCTAGTGCTGGGGGAGCAGCTGGACTCAGTGAATCATGGAATGGTTTGGGTTGAAGGGACCTTACACCTCATCCAGTTCCACCTCCCTGCCATGGACACCTTTCACTGTCCCAGGTTGTTCCAAGCCCCGTCCAGCCTGGCCTTGGGCACTGCCAGGGATGGGGCAGCCACAGCTGCTCTGGGCACCCAGTGCCAGGGCCTGCCCACCCTCACAGGGATTTCTTCCCAACACCCCAACTAAACTCACCTCTGGCAATGGGAAGCCATTCTCCTCTGTCCTGTCACTCCAGGCCCTTGTCTAAAGTTTAGATCTTTTGGAGCCCCTTCAGGCACTGGAATTGAGGTAACGATTCATCAGCTGCTTGGCTTCTCTTCTGTGGACAGAACACTTCTGCTCTCTAATGGAATGTAGTGTTGTCTTTGTTTACATCTTTGATATAATCCCTCGTCCGTCATCAGGAAACTACAAAGGATCTGTTTTGAGGCCCCAGAAATGATGGCACTGCTGGTAGTGTCATGGCTATGATACAGCTATTTAAGGTAGGACCTATCAGACTGAACACTGGTGACTGCTGCAGAGGAGGCTGTATCAGCACCAGCCATGCCACCGACCTTGGAATGCTGCCACGATGCACACGGGGGCAATTCAGACCTTCCAGGCCAAAAAGATGAACTGTAGCTGAACCCCACTGGATACAAGGGAGCTACACCATCTGCCTGTAAGGAAAGCCAGTTTCAATATGAGTTTGGAGCTTTTCCCTCTATGATACTGAAATATAAATTGGTGAAATCCCTCAGAACATCAGGTTTAAACTGTTTCATTAGTTTTTCTACAAGGTTTCAGTGTGTGACTTTACAAACCTTTTATCCTTAAATAATGATGACTTGTAGTAAGAGTTTGGAATTATCTGTAAAAGAACTTAAAATCTTTGTGAACTTTGGCTTTTAGATTCTATCAGCCAGCAAGGACCTGTGTGAGTTATTCCGAGATGTTATTACGTGAGGGAAATCCCAGTGAAAACACACTGGCCTTCCCAGAGCTTGTGTTCAGAACTACCCCCTACACTCTTGTTTCAGCCTTTATCTCACACCAGTTTAATCTACTTCATTAAGTCTCATAACCTGTATTTGAGTAAAGTACTTCTCAGTAATGTAAATACAATTATCACCTTTCAGTCTTCTTGCTATTAAATAGAAAACATTTTAAACCTCTTATTTTTTCTTTTCTCCATCACGTAAGTGGTATTGGTGGACCTTTTCTGTTCCAGCTTTTCAAAACTAACTTTCAAATCTGAATATCAAACAGGATGCTGTTACTTTCAGTTTCACTACTGCTGTATACACAAATACGTCACCAACATTTTATTGGAGTAGGTTTGACTTCTCCTGAGCCAATTTCTTTTGCGCTCCAGAGTGAATATTACCTGGAATTGCTGATTTTAAAGCTATTCCTAATGGAATAAAAAGGCCTGCATCCTTCCACTTGGGAATTAATAATAAAGTTTTGCTGCTTTTCTATTCTGAATGTTGGTTGTGTTTATTTTCTTGTATTATTGCCAGGATAATATTGGTTATTTGAGAGAATCTTCTTTCCCTGTAAATGCACTGTGCGTGTGTAAGTGGTGTTTGGTTTTCATGAATTACAATGTGTTTGCATTGTTACACTGGATTAGTGCAGTAATCCAAACTGGGTAATTACTGTTTGTCACCAGTGTCTCACCAGGCTCCCTCTGCCAACGTCCTTCAAACAAGGGACACTTGTGCCCCAGATTGATGATGTCTGGATTAACCACATGGGATAAAACAAAGCGTGTGGAATGAGGTGAGACCTAATTTCAGATTGTGGTAGCTGCTTCCGCTGGGACTGCAGCTCTCAGAGCCAGCAGAGCACGGCAGGGAACACCCAGAGCAGGGGGCAACAGCTGGGAGAACACCCAGAGCAGGGGGCAACTGCTGGGAGAACACCCAGAGCAGGGGGGAGAACACCCTGAGCAGGGGCAGCAGCACGGAGAACACCCTGAGCAGGGGGCAGCGCAGGGAGAACACCCAGAGCGGGGGGAGAACACCCTGAGCAGGGGGGAGAACACCCAGAGCAGGGGGCAACAGCTGGGAGAACACCCTGAGCAGGGGGGAGAACACCCTGAGCAGGGGGGAGAACACCCTGAGCAGGGGCAGCAGCAGGGAGAACACCCAGAGCAGGGGGGAGAACACCCAGAGCAGGGGCAGCAGCAGGGAGAACACCCAGAGCAGGGGCAGCAGCAGGGAGAACACCCCGAGCAGGGGCCCTGAGCAGGGGCAGCAGCAGGGAGAACACCCAGAGCAGGGGGGAGAACACCCAGAGCAGGGGCAGCAGCAGGGAGAACACCCAGAGCAGGGGCAGCAGCAGGGAGAACACCCTGAGCAGGGGCAGCAGCAGGGAGAACACCCAGAGCAGGGGGGAGAACACCCTGAGCAGGGGGCAGTGCAGGGAGAACACCCTGAGCAGGGGGAGAACACCCTGAGCAGGGGCAGCAGCAGGGAGATCTGCACTGTTCTCCCCAGGAACCAGCACAGCCCACATGTGTTGGACAGGTCATGCTGGGGTACTCCTCCAGCCCTCAGTTTTGGCAGCAGCCCGAACAGGAGCACTGCGAGGGGTCTCAGCACTGATAAAGGGGGATTGCACAAGTTTGTGTCCTCAAGTGCCACAGAATTCAGAACCCGTGGGGAGATGGCAATCAAGCTCATGGTTTAGTGGTGCTGGCTGGTGCTTGGTCTTGGCACTCTTACATGTCTATTGTGAGTGTAATTCTTCTGTGATTCTATGATTTTAAAATTGAAATCCTGGAAATCTGACCTGATGGGAGCTTGGCTTCTGGTAGGTTTAGATGGGATACTGGGAGGAAGTTCTCCCCTGGCAGGGTGGGCAGGCCCTGGCACAGGGTGCCCAGAGCAGCTGTGGCTGCCCCTGGATCCCTGGCAGTGCCCAAGGCCAGGCTGGATGGGGCTTGGAGCGGCCTGGGACAGTGGAAGGTGTCCCTGCCATGGCAGGGGGTGGGATTTGATGGCTTTGAGGTCCCTTCCCACCCAAACCATTGCATGACTCTGTGATTACCAGGCGGCCCCTGGTCCATCCACCAGTGAGCCGCTGGCCTGCTGTGATCACTGACAGGATGTGAGGAACAGACACGTTACCTGCCCCAAAGGCACCACGAGCACAGACAAGGTAATCTGGAGAGCAGGAACTCATTCCAGGGCCGCTTCTCCAGCAGTGCAGACCCACGGGCTCTTTGATAGTGGAGAAGGTGGTGAATCTTCCCCTTGACTCCACACGGGTGACTCATCCCAGCTGCCACTCTGGGTTTGATCTGCTCAGGCTCTGCATGTGTACATATCAGATTATCTGGGTTAAGTGCAGCTTTGCTTTTGCCCTTTATCTGTCTGCTCTGAAGCTGTTTAACATGATCTGCCTGTTTTTGTGCCAGCTCAGTTTCAGGAGTCCCAGGCACTGACTGGCACTGAGGTGATTTCTTCTGCAGTGACCGCAGGCTTGGTCACTCATCTCACAGGTCCCTAATGCAATTCCCACCCCTGCTGTGCTGACAGAATTGGAAAAGTCTCTTCAGCAGTTGCACAAGCCATCCCCCTCTAGTTCTTCACAGTGACTTTTTTAATGTGGAGAAATCCCACATTATTCTAACAAGCAGAACGAACATCTGCATGGAACCCTGGGAGGGGGAACAGAAATGTGGTCTTGCAGTTTCACTGTTAGAAGTTGTTTGCTTTTTTAAAGAAAACTGCCTTCAATTAAAGGGGCTGATGGTGAATAATCTGCGAAGAATCAGTGTTGTATTTATACAGCAGCACTGTTTGGATACCACCAGTGCAGGAAGTTGTTGTGAGGGTTTGCTGTCTTGTTGTTTACCAGTGTTCAGCCCTGATGGCTGTCCTTTCCTTCTGGGGAAAACCCAGGAAGGGTGCTTGACCTAAGGAAGGAAGGTCCCTGGGATCTGGCCTTAACCATGTCCCCACTGCAGGGTCCCCGTGCAGACAGGGGGATTCAGAACATCCAGTACGACCTGAGTAAGAGAAAATCCAGACCTGCTTGGCTAGGCCAGTCCCCAGTCCCACTCAGGAACAAGGATATCCAGAGGCAGAGCTCACCCTGCACTGGCAGGGCCTCTGTCTTCAGTAGTCAAGGGAGACACATTTTAATTCCTAATCCAGACTGGTGGCAGTTTGAACCTTCCTTCTGAGGGGACGAGGTGCAGACACTGATCTCTGTGGTCACCAGGGACAGGAGGGAATGGCTGGAGTTCTGTCCGGGGAGGGTTAGGCTGGATATCAGAAAAAGGTTCTGCCCCAGAGGGTGGCTGAGCACTGGGATGGGCTCCCCAGAGCAGCGGTCACAGCACCAGGAGGTGTTTGGACAGTGGACTCTTTGGCACACGGACAGTCCTGTGCAGGGCCGGGAGCCGGGCTGATGGTGCCCGTGGCTCCCGCCAGCTCCGCTCAGCTCTCCGCGCCTCACCCGCACCGCTGCTGGAGCGCGGAGAGGGCAAACACAGCGCTGTGTGCCTGCTCTGTCCTCCCTGAGGAGAAACAGCCGCACCGCGCAGCGGCTCCTGAGTTCAATGCTGGTTCAGTTATTAAATAAATGAGGATTCACCACAACTGCAGGTCAATGGTTTCTGCAGGCACAGAACTGCACCTTTTCATAGCCGGTGAGCAGCACGGGCCCTGAGCCGCTCCCGGAGCCGTTCAATCCCCCCGCTCCAGGATCCTCTCCCGGGCTCCGCTCGGCCCTCGCCCGGTCCGGCCTGGGCTCGGCCTGGGCCTGGCCTGGCCTCACAGCGCCCGCCGCTGTCGCGTCACTGCGGCGTCACCGGGGAGCGTCAGCGCGCAGCGTCACGTGATGACATCACCGGGCATAGCCGCGCCCCCGCTGCTCCCGGCCCGGCCCGGCCCATCCCGGCCGGTACCGCAGCTCTGGGCCCCGCTCCCGGCCCGGCCCGGTGGCGCCGGCCCCTCTGTGCCCTCCGGGAGCTGCGGCTCGCCCGCCAGCACGAGGGGTACACGCGGAGATGGGCGGCACCGGGACAGGAGGCCCGAAGCGGGCGGTGGCCGTGCCCAGGGCCCGCAGGTGGCGAGGCAAACGCTCCCAAAGCAGCGGGAGCCGTGCCGTGGGAGGCCCTGCAGGCTGCGGCTCTGGGCTCTGTGGTGCTCCAGGTGTCGCGGATGGCGACTGAAAGCACAGAATCAACGACAGCAGCAGGACCGGAGTGGCACTGAAGCCAAGCAGGGCTCCATCGCCTGCAGCAGCTGGTGGGCAGTGGGCAAGGCTGGAGATCAGCATTCCCCAGCCTCCGGTTATCCCGGCTGTTCAGGGGCCAGAGCTGACAAACAGGTGGATTTGTTGTGGTTTGCAGCTTCCAGGACAGCCCCTCCTGTCTGAGGGCAGGCAGTCCTTGAGCAGAATCCCAGTTATTCCAGACACCTGCCTGTTCTGTATGGGGAAATGCAGAGGACCAACGATGCCATCCCTCATCCCTCACCAAGGCCAGGCAGGACTGACCCTGGAACCAAGAGAACGTGCATTTGGCAGCATCAGAGGGTGGGCAGTGCAGGCTCACAGCTGGAGCTGTGTCCAGCTGTGACATTTCCCAAATGTCCAGCTGTGACATTTCCCACCCTCCATCTCCCAGAGCCTGGCTGGGGATCGCTGCTGCTGCTCAGGGCTGTCAGCTGCAAGAGTTTCTTGCAAACCTTGCAGCCCGGCAAGGCTCTGCTCTTTGCCTGTGCCACCTTGCAGATCATTCTCCCCATATATTGAACTGGGTTATTTCTGTTCCTGTTTATAGATAAATAATAGAATCATAGCATGGTTGGGCTTGGAAGGGGTCTTACAGACCATCTAGTTCCAACCCTACATGAATCATCCCTAAATAAATATCCCTAAATAACCAATTCCCATTGATGATGCTTCTGTGTTCACTTTTGTCTGAAGGGGTAAACTACTCCCCATTGCCTGATCAGGGTTCAGTTGTGGGGACCGTGATACACAGAGAGGAGCCTGGCAGCCAGCCTGGCCCAAGGGAGAGAGCAGATAATCCAACAGAGCCGTGTGAGGCTGGCAACTGCAGCTCTGAGCCCGCGCTGACCAAGGAGCAGGCTGTGCCTCAGGCCCCTCTTCCAGCTGTACCTGTCACACAGGGGAGCGCTGAGGCTGAGGTCTGGCACCACCCTGGCTGTAGGAAAAGGAAATCCACCCTCTCCTGAGACTGCTCCTCCTTCCCTGGGGTGGCACAGCACGGTGCCCATCCACTGAACCAGACTCAGGAAAACCTGGCTGAGCTACAGGAAATGGGGCTGGTTTTTACCAGACAAACTATTTTTAAAAACTTTAATAATATAAACAAAATAGTGTTTTAGCTTTTTTGTTTTGGTTTTTTTTTTTAACACAGCCAAATAAGGAAAGCCAAGAACTGAAGATCTTGCTGGTATCACTGTGTTTCATATTGTTTTTTCTTTCCCATCCCTGAATATTGATATTCTCAGTAACTGGGGTGTGCATTGATTCCTGCTCCCAAAAGCAGGAACACCAGGAGCATCTTTGCTGGATTATGCAGTGAGTAACAACCACCAGCAGAGCATTGATGCTGAAACTGCAGACTTGACACAGGGCACACCACTGTGACTAAAGGCTCTAAAATGTAAAGTAAACTTTATTATCCTTGAACCACAAAATAGATTTCTTTGGTTGTACAAATTTCACTAGTTACAGTCTTGATGCGCTAATTTTCCCTCGGAGTCTCTTGGGAGAGAACGGGAGAGAATCCAGAGCCTGGCACCAGGTACCGCACAGGGAAAGGAGAGAAGAATCACAAGTTAGTCACCAAAACCCAGCCAGGATTGTTTCCAAAACTGCTCTTGTTAAAAAGCAAATGCTAAAATTAGATTTAAAAAGGAAAAGCTCAAATTGCTGATGATGGAGGCAGCTGCAGCTGCAGTGTGAGATTATCAGAGTTCCCCTTCACAAGTCTGTAAAATCAAAACATACAGAGTCAGTTAAAATGATCCGCTGGATTTTGGCATGAAAGGAGAGGCTCAACTAAAAAACTGCACCCAAAAAACTGCATCCAGCTCTTTCCTTCAGCAAATGTACAAGCAGATGTGCCTGTCAGTGCCCAGCCACTGTGAGGCTCAAGGTCCAACCCTGGTCTTACTGGGGAGTCAGAGAGCACCAATGGAAGGGAACGGGACTGCGCCGAGCTCGGACCTTCCTCACGGTGAGAGGCAGTGAGAAAAAGAAAAAGAAAAGGGTTGTTTCCCCTCACTAGTGGCAGCAGAGGCTGATGGCAGAGTTGGGAGCAGCAGCTGTGACCTCCACATCTGCAGAGCTCACATGATTCAGAACCTGCTCACAGCCCTTGTTCCACTTCTGGAAACCAAGGCTCATACCCCCACTCATTTCTCATTTTCCTTTTTCCCTCTTGTGTGGGCAAACGTGCATTTTCCCCATCCTCCAGGGGAAGGGGCCTGAAGCCATTGAGCTGGCAAAGTGGAACTGTGTGGTTATTGCAAGGCACAGGCCAGCCCCATTCTGCTCCGTGGTGCTCCTGGTGCTCCCTGCCAGCCCACAGCACACCAGGCACCCCGTGACATCCCTGCCCACCCTACAGCCAGCGTGGGCACTGTGGACTCCCCACCAGCATCTCCATGTGCAGGATCCTGTAACTCCCAACCTGACCCCAGCAACTCCACATTCTACCCATCCCCAGTTCCTGAACTCTACCCACTAAGGTACCTGCTGTCACACCTCCCACCTCTGCCGCTGTGTCCTGCCCCCCGTGCTGCTCCCACTGCTGTCACACACCCCTGCACCCTGCTCTGGCTGTCGGCCCTGTCCCATTCCTGCCCCAGCTGACCAGTTCGGCCCCAGTGCCACAGGACAGACTCCTCCACTCGTGTGCTCTGCAGTGGCTCCCACCGTGGTGACACAGGGGGACGTGCCCATCCGGGAGGGAGCTGTCCCAGGACAGCACAAAGCCCCAGCAGGAGCAGTGTCCCACCAGGACAGAGGCAGGTGGCAGAGCTGGCTCTGTTTTCCTTGAGCACAGAGTGCCGGTGGCAGAGGGAGGCACTTTGCTGGAATTCTGGTGGTTTTTGTTTTCTTTTTTTCCTTCTTTTTGCCTCCAAGCTTCCCATTCCCAAACACTCCCAAAGGGAAGTGAGGTGACACAGTGCAGGAGCTGGGAGGAGATGCTTTTTGGCAAAAGACTGGAAACTAAATAGGAGTAAAGGCAGGCTGGACCTTCCTCCTGATTCCCACCAGAGGAGAAGCTCCTTTTAACCACTACAAAACCCAAGCTGAGGCAGTAACAGCTGGAGCCCAACACACTCTCACACTCCTACATTCTCCCTGTCCTACTCTTCCCCACACATAATATTTACAGGCTAAAAAGCTGCCCACTGTCCTGGCCACCCTTCCTCTCCATCTGCCAGCAGTCAGTCCAGTGTTGTCCCAGTTTTGGGATGTGCCCCAGTGCACTGTTGGGTGAGAGACGAGGGCGGTTCACAGCCCCAGAGGAGTCAGTTGGCCACAGAGCTCACGGGGAGCTCAGTCCCATCCAGAGTCTGCAGGCAGGGGCAGCCTCTGCTGTCCCTGGAGCTCCCGAAGGGCTGTGCCAGGCCAGTCCAGTGCCCAGGCTGTGCCAGGCCAGTCCATTGCCCAGGGCCACCTATGTGGGGACAGCGGTCTCCAGGCTGCGCCGGCTGTGCCGGAGCTTGCGCTTGCTGCTGTACAGGGCCATGTCCTCCAGGGCTGAGGGAGCTGCTGCCGATGGATCCCCTGCTCCCGGTGCGTCCTCCTCCTCTGGCTGCCCGTCCTGCTCCCGGGGAACTGCAACGACAAGAGGGGTTTGGATCTGAGGACAAAGCCCTGGTTAAGTCAGGTGAGATCCTGAGAGGAAATCCTTCCCTGTGAGCTGGTGAGGCACAGGCTGCCCAGAGGAGCTGTGGCTCGTAGCAGCTCGGTGTGATGGAAGGTGTCCCTGCTCAGGGCAGGGGTGGCACTGGGTGGTCTGAAAAGCCCCTTCCCAGCCAAACCATGCTGTGATTCTGGCAGCACACAGCTGGCACAGTTAATGCAGATGTTAAGGCTAGCACAGGATGACAGAATGGTTTGTGTAGGAAAGAACCTTAAAGTTCATCCCATCCCAACCCTGCCACAGGCAGGGACACCTTCCACTGTCCCAGGTTGCTCCAAGCCCTGTCCAACCTGGCCTGGAACACCTTCAGGGAGTGTTCCAGGGTATTCCCAAGTGCTGCATTTGGGACAGCACTGGTCTCAGTCACTGCCAGTAACCCCCTGCCCAGAACCCCCTGGTGACCTGCAGCTCACGTAGGGAGCACTGTGGGTGCTGGGAAGGAGGAGCCACGTGTGAGGAGACACCTGCCTGCAACACCCCTTGTTCACTGAATGTGACTGGAGTGCCCAGCTGCATGGAACATCCAGTGTCCTGAAATGCTTCTGCTCTCCAGAGCAGGGACCCACCCTGGCCCGAGTCTGCAGGGGCTGAGGGGTCCCTCTGTCACAGAGGGGGAGGAGAGTCTGGGTCACAGAAGGAAGGCTTTAAACTCAGGGGCACCACAGAGACATGTGGGACAGACAGCTGCTGTGCTGTGGGAGGATCCAGACCCTCAGGGAAGGACAGGGGCAATCAGGTGAGGGTCACCCCTGTGGCATGCCCAGCTGGATGCAGGGAGCTGCTCCGAGGAGCTGACCAGAGCTCACAGGTCAGGGCTGCAGGGACAGGTGACATTCCTGACCAGGGACAGATGACATCCTGAGGATGAGAGAAAACAGGAACTACTGGAGGAAAGCACAGGCATTGCCACTGGTATGAATACAGAGATTCCAGTTTTGTGTTGGCATTTTGGTGGGAAAGAACCTGTGAAATGCAAGTCTGGAGAAGAACAGGATGGATGCAAGTCCTTGGAGTAGTGATGTGGCCAAAAAGGCTGGACAGGAATAAATTAAAGCCACAGGAGGGCAGAGAGATTTAAATTAAATCCACAAGAGGGCAGAGAGCACTCGTTTGGTTCCTGAGTGTGAGAGCTGCAGAGTTCATTAGCCAACAGCAATTAGGGCAGGTGCAGGATGGGGAGGCAGCTGCTGCCCACACCGGAGAGCCCAGGTGGGCAAGGAGCACAGGGAAAAAGCAGCTCCTCACATCCCATAGGCAGGGTCCCAGTAACAGGAGCAGCACACAGTCATCAGGGGAGCTTCTGCAACCTGAGGGTTACAGGTCTGGGGAGCAAAAGTCTCCAGGTGATCTGGAGGTCATGCCACAACAAAGGGAACACTGCTTGGTTCCACCTGAACTGCTGCTCTGCAGTTCAGTAACTCCACAGCCTCATGGAAACCTTGCAATAAAGGTTTTTAAATCCATTTAAGAGATGATGACCATGAAGTCAGACCAGAGAATGGAAGGAGCTGTTTCTGCATGGGCAAGAGGACGAGGGTGTGCTGGGAGGAGTGAGATGCCAACACTTTCCTGCAGCTGGATTTCCTCAGAGCTCCTGATGTAATGATTTGCTAGCACAAAATTTCAGAACTGCTGTGAGTCAAAAAGCCATAATTCCATGATCCAGGACAATTCTGATTATGCTGGCTGGAATGCTGCACTGCCTGGGAGAGTGAGATGGGATGGAGGGCTCTGAAAAAGCCAGGAGAGCTTGGCCCCATGCCAGGAGAGCTGACTGGCATCCTCACCTCCATCCCTTCCAGATGATGTGGGAAAAACCTGCTTCTTTTTGTGTGCCCCACACACATACAGGTGATTTAAGCATTACTTCAGGACTGAGGGCTGGGTCTCCCCATGAGCACCACATTTTCTTTCTGGCTTTCATCCCATCAGAGCAGGGACAGGCAACAGTGAGCTCTGAGTGCCCTAAGCAGCAGCTGCTATTCCCCAGACCTTCCCTGAGCTCTCAGTTCCCTGCACTGCCTGAACAAACAACCTCAGGAGAATAACCCAGAGCTTAGAGGATGACTCTGAGGGATGAAGAACAGATCCTGTTCTCAGGAAAGTACGTTTGTGTAGAGTCCTGCAGCAGAACCTCCTGGAAACAGCTCAGCTGTGGGTCAGCTGTCTGGGATGCAGCCTTGGCTCAGAGGCATTTGTCTAGAAAAAAAGGGTTTTGTTTTTTAAATAAAGGGGGGATGAAACATGCAAAAAGGGTAGCAGCAAACCAGCACCAACTGTTAGAGGCTACACAGCAGGCAGGCTCTGCCCAGCTCCACAGTGCTGCTGCAGCCCCTGGAACCATCTGGGTGAGTCTCAGCTGTCTGTTACAGTGGGACAGGCAGACACAGCCCAGCTGGACAGCCCAGAGGTCCAGCTGCACACCTTTAACTCCTGCTGACTGAGGTGGCCACAGCCCACGAGTGTACCTGGGATGAATTTACCTGCACCAGTCCCTGTGCCAGCAAAAGGGGCACGAAGCAGCCCCTGCATGGACATCATGCACCTGCAGCAGGTGGCAGAGGCCAAAACCTCTCTGCCACATCCTACTGCCACTCCAGGACACAAACTGGAGAAAAACAGGCATGCTTGTAACACAGCACACTGGGAAAATTAGTCATCACTGAAAATGATGCAAATATGCAAATATCCTACCCAAACTGAACGTGGTGAGCGCGGAGTTGTCATTCTAGAACAGATAAAACATGGCATGGCTTCAAGCAACAGAAGGTGAGCTCCTCAGGGTGGTTCCATAAGGCAGGGGGACCCTCCAGACCCAGGGCAGGGAGTGAGCAGAACAGCCAGGACTGCCTGGGCCTGGCCTGGGCTGGGCTGGGCTTACCTGAGTTACTCCGGTCATCGACGTATCTGAGGTCATCAGCTGCATCAGGGGACTGGAAGGGAAATGAGATCATTCACACCTGTAACACCTGAGCCCAGGGCATCCCCAGCCCCCCTCCCACACCCCATGGAGGGGAAGGGACTGGCACTGCCCAGAGGGGACTGGCACTGCACAGAGGGGACACGGGCACAGAGGGGACACTGACACAGAAACTCCAGCAGGAATCCCTCGTGCCTGGGTCGAGCACCCTGGCCTGGCCTGTGTGCAGGAAGGAGAGGAAGAAACACAAAAGGCACAAAGTGTAGAGAGTGAAGAAAAAGGCTGTGAGCTGAAAGAGGAGAGATTTGTGTTGCATATGAGACAGAAATTCTTGCCCATGGGTGGGCAGCCCTGGCACAGGGTGCCCAGAGCAGCTGGGGCTGCCCCTCAATCCCTGGCAGTGCCCAAGGCCAGGTTGGATGGGGCTTGGAGCAGCCTGGGACAGGGAAGGTGTCCCTGCCATGGCAGGGGTGGGATGGGATTTAAGGTCTCTCCCAACCCAAACCATCCCAGGATTCTGTGAACTATTGCACCCACACACACTGCCTGAGGGTTTGGAGCAGCAGCCTCCTTTGGAGGCACCTTCTCAGCTGCATGCAGACCCAGTGCTGTACCTGGGGAAATTTGGGTGGTCTGGAGCTGCCACAGAGCTCAAGCAGCCAGTCCCCAACTCGCCTGGGACAGAACTGGAGAGAGGCACCTCCCAAAGGAAGGCACCCCAGGAAAATGAGGAACCACTTCCAGGAGCAGAGCAACACCACAAGGGACAGGTGCCAGTGAAGAACAGACACCAAATAAAGCGAAAGTGCCTGAGAATCCTCATCCTGCAGCTCTGCCACAGCCAGCCTGCCTGCAGTGACACACCTTTGTGTCCCCACAGTGAGGTGAAGCCCAGTGTGGCAGTGCTGGCTGGCTCTCCATGCACACAATCTGCCTCATGGTAGAGAACTAAAAAACCACCTAAAACCCTTCAGACACAGGAAATCTGCTCAATTCAGCTGTCACAAATGCCATCAGGGACTGACTGACCCAGGCAGTTACAGCTCCCAGCCCTACAAGATTGGTTCCAGTGGCCTCCAGAACAGGGGCAGGGGTCAGGATCACCTCCAGAGCTGACAATCCATGACAGAACAGCTTAAAACAGCCCATTAGAGGAAGGAGAAGCACCTCACCATGGCTTTCCACTCTCAGGTGTGGACTCCACTGCCAGCAGAACTACAGCTTGAGAACAGGCACCCCAGCTGCTCCTGGCCAGGACACCAGGCACCAGCTGGAAGTTCACATCTGCTCCAACTTGGCATTTGCTAGCCATTATTTCTGTAACTTTTTATTCCCTTTTAGTTCTCATCTTTCACTTAAAAATATTTCAGTAGCCATTCCGGTGAAGATGCAGATGTTTTCTATCTGCAAAGCTTTTGTCATTCATTTTAAAACCATCTGGACCAGCCTTTTCCTAATCCCTCTTGGCTGAAGCCTCCACCAAACCCTCAGTTTTCAGTAGGACTGGTGTCCCTGCCCCTGCACAGCAAAGCCTCTGCAGAGGGCTCCCCCAGATCCCTCAGCCTCAGCTCCTCCACCAAACCAAGGCCCGAGCTATGCAGAGGTGGCTCAGCATGCAGTTTATACCTGGATTTCGTAAACAGGTTTGGAGGAAGGAATAGCAGCAAATTCCCGGTAGTCAAACTTCTTTTCAGACATTGACTAGAAGGGACAGCAGAAGGGAAGAAACAGAGAAGAGAGAGTGAGGGAGAGAACGGCTGGAGAGGCAGCAGCAAGCTGGGCAGTGCAAGCAGAGATCCCAGCAGAAGCAGAGGGACATCCTGAGGGAGAGGCAGGAGTGCCTGGACAGAGCCTGGGACACCCCAGGACACCCCTGGGACACTGCTTTGGAGCTCTCCTGGTGGCAGGAGGGGTTTGAGCCACAGAGGAAACATCACTGCTCCAGTGAAATGCTGATGCACACCAAGCCTGCTAGGAAGGCTGGTTTGGGGGAAGTTCATGGCAAGATTTCTGATAGCCAGAGCAGAGTCAGAATTTCAGCCCAGGGCTGTGTTGTGGGGTGACCTGGCAGGACAAGGCTCCCTCTCTGCTGCTTTCCCTGAGCTGTCTCACCAGCTCTTGCAGTGCTGGGCAACAATGGCCCATGGCATTTACTCAGGGCTAGGAAAAGGAAAATGCTGATTGCAGCTGCAGGTCTGCCTTGTGCTCTCGAGGAAACACAGGGCCAAAGTCCCTGAAGTGAAGTAAAAGGCTTTCAGAACTCAGGCAAAGGCTTTCTGAATCAGGGTAAGGCTTTCTGAGCACGGGGAAAGGCTTTCTGGACCTGGTGGACAACTTTCTGAACAAGGAGGTGAAGCACCACGGAAAGGATGGCATCACAAAATAGGGGACAGAAAGCAGATGTCCCCTGGGAGCTGCAATAAAGGGGGGTGCCTCTGGCCAGGAGTGTGGCCACATTCCATCCACGGACCCCTCACCCTCCCCTGCACCACGCAGGCCTGGCTCAAGGACCAAGTGGGCACCCACAGCTCCCAGCACAGCTGAGCAACCAGGGAATCCCAGGATTCAGGAAAGGTGAAAAAAGCAAGCAGGAGAACATCATACCAGCCTTCCTGGGGAAGTGACGTTCCTGGGGCTGCAATCTGCAGGAGGGGACAGAAGAGCACAGTTAGTGACAGGCTGGCTGTGGGACAGCCACCCCCCAGCCATCAGCAGCATGTCAGAGTGGTGACACCACGCTGAGGGCAGGCCCTGCCTTCTGCCCTCCCAACAAACACCTCCTCACTGCTTTTTCAGAAAATCAGCATGTGTTCCCACCCTGTTCCCTGGAACCTCAGCTCTGCCTCAGGTGCTGTCACATGTCCTACAGCTGAGCCCCATCCCTGTGCTGTCCCCACGTGCCCCCAAGGACCTTCCAGCTGGGTCTGTACCTTCCAGCTGGGTGGAAGGAGGGAACTGCCCCCCAGAAGGAGGGAATTGCCCCTAGAAGGAGGGAATTGCCCCTTAGCAGGAGGGAATTGCCCCTAGAAGGAGGGAACTGCCCCCAACCCTGCCTGTCCCTGCAGGCAGCAGCAGCTCTGTACCTTCCAGCGGCGTGGAAGGAGGGAATTGCCCCCAGAAGGAAGGAACTGCCCCCCAGAAGGAGGGAATTGCCCCCAGAAGGAGGGAACTGCCCCCAGAAGGAGGGAACTGCCCCCAGCCCTGCCTGTCCCCGCAGGCAGCAGCAGCTCTGTACCTTCCAGCGGCGTGGGTGACGGCGTGGGCGCGGGCGAGGGGGACTCTGCCAGCTGCTCCAGCGTGCTGCGCTTCTTCCCCTCCTTGGACTTGGCAATGACCATCTGGGCTTTGAGAGCATCCTGCTCCAGCGATTTCATCCTGCCTCGGGAACGGGGTGGGGAGGAGAGGCCATCAGTGCTGGGGAGGGGACAGTGCCACCCGTGTGTGGCAGGGCAGGGACAGAGCCCTGGGCCGAGCACAGCTGGGTGGAACAAAGCCCCCGAGGGTCCCCAGGCAGGCAGGGGGACAGCTGGGCTGGCTGCCATCCCAAAACACACATGGGACCACATGTGCCAAACACACAGAGCCTGAAGCTATGGATCAACACACTGAGAAGCTGCAGGCAGCCCCAGAGTGCCACACAACAGGACAGTGACCTGAGCTGGGGACAAATCTGCAAGGATCACACGAGCAGGATCAGTCCTGGGGGCTTTACCCTCCTCTGGGCTCAGTGTGCTGCACCTTAACCCTCCTCAGCCTGCAGGAGATCAGGAAGGCCAGGCTGGATGGGGCCCTGAGCAGCCTGCTCTAGTGGAAGGTGTCCCTGCCCGTGGCAGGGGGTGGATCTGGATGATCTCTAAGGTACCTTCCAACCCCTGTGTGACACAGCTGTGAAAAAGTGGGTCCAGCCCTCAGAGGAGTCTGTTCCTTCCTGCCCATCAGACAGCCCCAGCATCCCCCCTTGTTCTCTGGGCAGTGGGCACCAGGGACCACCCCCACGTCCTCCTGCCCCAGGAGGCCCCAGAGGGGCATGGGGACACAGACAGGAGCATGCAGCTGTGGGGAGGGGCAGTGCACACCTGGATTGGCCTCCTGAGCCTGGGACTCTCGAGGCGTGGCTCTGCACTGGGCTAGCCATCTGAGCTGGCCTGGCCCCGGGAGCAGCAGCCCGCTGCCGGGACTGGTACAGCCTCCTGGCCAGGTCCTGCTCGTACTGCTTAACACTGTCTTCAAGAGCTGAGGATCTGAGGAGGAGCAGCAGGACAAGGAACAGGAGAAGGAGGAGGAAGGAGAGATGATGGTGATGAACATTGCAGCAGACAGGAACAGGAAAAGAAAGAAAACAGATACAGGAACGTACCCTGGGGAGGGGAAATACGGGTCTGACATGGGGCAGCCTGGGCTACACTGGTCCCAGATGTGATCCCACCCAACCCTGGCCACTGCTGAGGCAGCAGGAGCCCCTGGGGCAGGCGGGGACTGTGCCCAGGAACATCAGCCTCCATCAGTCCCCACATCCAGGGCTGCCTTCCCGTGAGCTGGGAGGCACCAGGAACAGCTCCAGCCCCACGGGAAAGGCTGTGGGGTGGTCAGAGGGTGTGTGGGTGTGGGTCAGGCTGAGGGCACACGTGGGACAGCCTCTCAGCTACACTGACCATGTGCTCCATGCACCTCAGCTGGACCATGGGAAAGGGGAACACAGTGGCCAAGCACAGGACACACATTTTGTCCTGGGACACTGAGGGTGAGCGTGTCCCTAAGCCAGGGTGAGCCAAAATGCTCATGGGCCTGGCTGGCACCTGCCCCAGGGTGTGCTCCAGAACCTCTGAACCTCCCTCTTCCCACGGGACAAGGGCCTGGAGGGACAGGACACAGGGAATGGCTTCCCACAGCCAGAGGGCAGGGATGGGTGGGATCTTGGGAAGGCATTGTTCCCTGGGAAGGTGGGCAGGCCCTGGCACAGAGTGCCCAGAGCAGCTGTGGCTGGCCCTGGAGCCCTGGCAGTGCCCAAGGCCAGGCTGGATGGGACTGGAGCAGCCTGGCACAGTGGGAAGTGTCCCTGCCATGGCAGGGGTGGAACCAGATGAGCCCTAAGGTCCCTTCCACCCCAAACTGTTCCATGACTCCACGACTGTGCCAGGGGCTGTGTGTGCCCAGAACCCATGTGTAAGGTGGGTCTCTGTGTCTGCAGAGAGCACAGGGAGTGCTGGGGGAAGGGGGCATCACACATCCTGGCAGGGCACTGATGGCACAGGGAGAACAAGGAAAGCCCAAGGAGGTGCAGACTGAGGGGTCATGAGTGACAGCACAGAGCAGAGAACTGGAAAGAAGCAGAAGACAGGAGATTAGAAAGGGAGGAACAAACCCAGTGGGTTGGTGGGGCTGAGCCCCTGAGTGGGGCAGTGCAGAACTTCCCCTGCAGCACAGGGGCCTCTGGAGACAGGACCTGACCACATCCCTGTTCCCATTCCAGAGCTGGAAAGAGGGGCCCTGGATCCTCCCGGAGATCTGTGGCAGCAGGGAACAGTCCCTCCTTGTCTCACAGAAAGGAGCCTTGCAGTGACTGACTGATTCCTGCCCAGGGCACCAGCCAGGCCCTTCTCCAGGACCTGCACAGAAAGCTGGGCCTTGGCACTGGAAGCAAAGTGGAGCTGAAGCCCTGGTCTGCCACAGTTAAACCCAGAGAGGCTGGATCTGACAGCTCAGGTAGCTGAAGCCTTGGTCTGCCACAGTTAAACCCAGAGAGGCTGGATCTGACAGCTCAGGTAGCTGAAGCCCTGGTCTGCCACAGTTAAACCCAGAGAGGCTGGATCTGATAGCTCAGGCAGCTTCTCCTTGACAGGCACTCCCTCCTCAGGAAGGCTCTTCTTTTGCTAGCCTCATTTCCAAGGAGAAAACACACTTAAAAGAGTGAAGGTTTGGGATGAGAGATCTCTCTTCTGCTCACAGTGGACAAACCCCTGGTGCTCCACACTCACTAACCCTCCTGAAGTCTCATGTGAAACTTTTACTGTGCCCTGAGCAGCTCCAGCCAAGTCCCAGCTGGCCCAAGACCACGGGCTGATAAACAGCAACATTACAGGAGCAAATCACAGCATCACGTCACCTAAAAGCATCCTCTCCCCTCCCAGCATCTTCAGGTTTATCTGCTGGCAACACCAAGCTCGTGGAAGAGCAGAGTGCCCAGACTGGAGCTGCTCATCTGGGACAGCAGCAGAGACTCTGCTTCCCAAAGTCTGCACGGGCAACATCCTGCTTCTCCTTCTGACACCCACCTTAAACAAAGCTTCCATCACAGCATTCCTTGGATTCATTCATGCTTGGGCATGAACAGAGCTGACAGACCTCAGAGAGCCTCCCCAGCGTGGGAGGGATGAAGGGGAAGTGGAGGCACCAGGGAGTGAAACCTGCATGTGCCATGGGAAGGGATGGCAGACTGGGCAGTGCCCTTCTGCACAGGGATGTGCATTTCCAGGAGAGGCTGGCAGGAGGTCCAAGGACCAAGAGCAAGTCTGTGCAGGATGTGTGGCACTGTGGTGCTTGCACAGTGCCACACTGATGGCTGCCTTTGGCACCATTTCACACTGACAGCTCTTCCTGAGACAGAGATGTGATTCCAGCCCTGACAGCTCTGACACACAGATGTGATTCCAGCCCTGACAACTCTTCCTGAGACACAGATGTGATTCCAGCCCTGACAGCTCTCCCTGAGACAGAGATGTGATTCCAGCCCTGACAGCTCTCCCTGAGACAGAGATGTGATCCCAGCCCTGAGAGCTCTCCCTGACACACAGATGTGATTCCAGCCCTGATAGCTCTTCCTGACACAGATGTGATTCCAGCCCTGACAGCTCTTCCTGACAGAGATGTGATTCCAGCCCTCTCCAAGCACCTGCAGCACAAGGACTTGGTGGTCTCCCCAACCTCGTAAGGAAGGATATGGCAGAGCAAGGCAGTCCCTAAAGAGGCTCCAAGACAGCTGGAAGAAGACTTTGGACAAAGACCTGGAGTGCCGGAACAAGGAGGAATGGCTTCCCACTGCCAGAGGGGATCTTGGAAAATCCTTCCCTGGGAGGCCCTGGCACAGGGTGCCCAGAGCAGCTGTGGCTGCCCCTGGAGCTCTGGATATGTTCAAGGCCAGGCTGGACAGGGCTTGGAGCACCCTGGGACAGTGGAAGTTGTCCCTGCCCATGGGAGGGGTGGGATGGATGGCCTTAATGGTCCCTCTCCCCTGAACCTCCTGGGATTCTGTGAAAACCAGTCTCAGAGAAAATGTGCTCAAAGCCCCAGAACATCAGTCCAGCTCTCCCTGCTTTGCAGTTCTCCACTCTCAGAGCCTTCCTGGGAGCAACAGCCTCATGATCACCCATGCCAAGCACCAACACTGGAACTGCTCCCAGTGATCCCTCCAGTCTTTTCTAAAACCCTGTCCTCTCCAGGCCTCATCCAAACCCCAAAACAGACAGCTCAGACTGTCCTTTGAATGTCTCCTACAGGAGTAATAGGAGAATAAAAACCATCAATAGGAGCAGCCTGAGTAATTTTTGGAAGGAATTCTATGATGCAGTAAACATCTGGACTAGCTTCAAGTCTTAAGTTCTGAATTAGGAAGGTCTCTTTCTTCCAGAACAACTTTTAGTCCCTCTTTCATGGCTGATGGAACAGCTTGTGTGGGTAAGAATGGGAATGGCCAGATCCTGCCAGTGTCTTGGCTGTAGCAGGATTTCCAGCCCAGCAACACTGGAAATGTGAAATTCCATTTTTCGTTTCAGACATGTGACTTGGCAGCTCCAGTGACACCATTTCAAAAGGGTTACAAATGAGGTGGGAATGGTGTGTGAGGGAAGGACACAGCCACCACAACACTCAGCTGGGCTCGTGTTCATGGTGAGTTCCCCGTGTCCAGGGCTGGGCAGGCACGGGGGGAATCTGGAGCCCTGCCCCTGCCCTGTGCTGACAGAAGGGGACAGGCTCAGCCAGGCCACCAGTGCTGGGCACTGCTTGAACAGGTCCTGCACAACCTCCCTCAACATCTGCGCTTGAAAGGATCCCCCATTCCCTGGTTTTACTCCCTTTGGGTCCCCTAGACAGGCAGGAGCTGTCCTGCTCTGTGAAAGGATCCTCCATTCCCCAGTTTTACTCCCTTCAGGTCTCTTTAGGAGCTGCCCTGCCCTGTGAAAGGATCCCCACTCCCTGGTTTCACTCCTTTAGGAGCTGCCCTGCCCTGTGAAAGGATCCCCATTCCCTGGTTTCACTCCTTTAGGAGCTGCCCTGCCCTGTGAAAGGATCCCCATTCCCTGGTTTCACTCCTTTAGCCCCCACACACGCAGGAGCTGCCCTGTCTGTCCCAGAAGGGCAGGGAACTCTGGCTCACCGTGCTGCCCTCCACATGGCCCGTTTCTCCGCCTCCAGGGCCCGGCGTTCAGCTGGGGACAGCTCCTTGTCCTGCTGGGCCAGCAGCTCGGGGCTCTGCATCCGCAGGCGCTCCTGGTGCCGCCGCTCGGCCTTGGCTGTGCGCACGGGAGCGCCGGGATCCGTGGGGCTCAGCCTGCCAGAGAGGGGCACAGGGGGGCTGTGGGGCCACCACGGCTTACCTGCTGGGCTGGGGCAGCTCTGCTCACCTGCCTGGTGCCACTGGCAGCTCTGCTCACCTGCCCGGTGCCACAGGCAGCTCTGCTCACCTGCCCACTGCCACTGGCAGTTCTGCTCACCTGCCCACTGCACTGGCAGCTCTGCTCACCTGCCCACTGCCAGCTCTGCTCACCTGCCCACTGCCAGCTCTGCTCACCTGCCCAGTGCCACTGGCAGCTCTGCTCACCTGCCCACTGCCACTGGCAGTTCTGCTCACCTGCCCCCTGCACTGGCAGCTCTGCTCACCTGCCCACTGCACTGGCACGGGCTGCTGCGGGTGGGGAGGACACAGGACACAGGACACAGAAAGCTCCTCGTAAGGAGCTTCTGGCTGGACGGGGCTTGGACTGCCCTTGGAGCAACTGCCCTGAAGGGCAGGGGGTTGAAACCAGAGGGTCTTGAAGGTCCCTCCAACCCAACCCATCCTGGGTTCTATGAAGTTGGTTCTGCTCAGTTCCCCTCCCTCCCCCAGCCCCTGGCTGCTGAAAAGGAGGAACTCTGCAGCCCCTGCCCCACTCACCCCGACATGGAGTTGGTTCTGTGCTCAGGCTTGATCCCCTCCTCCAGGGAATTCCTCTGTGAGCTGTTGTTCTCACTGAGCTCCAAGGGCCTGGAAAAAAAACCCCTGTGAGCTGCAGCACCACAGGCTGCACACCCAGCCAAGGCTGGCACAGGTCCACCCCAGGAAAGCAACAACTGCTCCAGGGTGAAGTCACAGCCCTCCGTGACCACTGCTGTGAACATTCCTGTGGGGATCTCCTTAACATCCACATGAATATCAGAGCTCATTTCCTGCAGTTGCAGGTCACCCAGCCACTAACACACACACACACACACACACACACACACACAGAGAAACCTTTTTTTTTCCTCAGTTTTTCTAAAAAAATTTTTTGGGCTTTCTTTTCCTCCAGATCTAACCCAACCAGGACCTCACATTCAGCTTTGTTAGATGTGGCACAAAGGGATTCCAAACAGAGGAGCCCAAGAAAGATTCCCTTTGGAAACACTTGTCACCTGATTCTGATTTTATACCTTCATTAACAGATTAATTTGATTATTATAAGTTTTTCCATGAGATGGGCTATGGAGCTGCTCTGAGGGCTGGAACCTGGCTGGGAGAGCTGGGGGTGTTCAGTTTATAGTGACTCTCAGCTCTGATCTTTACTGCTCAAGTTTATTTTAATTAAATTTTAGTTTCTCTTCCAGCATGAGGAAGATTATTTCAAGAAACAAAACTTCGGTCTCTTCCACTGCCTCCCCTGCATTCAAGCATAAATAATAAGCAACTGAAAGTCATCTGATGGATCCAGGCTTCCTGTTCTTCAGCATCCTGTGCTTCAGGATGAGAACAGGAGGGATCAGTGGGGCTTCCCAGAGAACCAAGGAGCTGTGTGTGACTGCTCTCCTCCTTGGAGCTGCCTCAGCTCAGGAGGGGCAGGGGAAGTCTCAGGGCATCATTATGTGAGAAGCTCCTCCACTGAGACTGGGCAGAAACAACAGAGAAAAATCAGATTGCACGTGCCAGGGTGTGTTCTGCCACTGTGACAGAGAAGTCACAGTGGAGAGGAGACTGTCTGTCCCAAAGACTTCAAAGGCAGATAAGGACAGCTTCAGCTTTACTCCAGTGCATTCTGAATTTATCTGGAGCCTTTGAGAACCCTGTTCTCATTCCTCTGTTCTATGCCCAAGAATTAGAAAAAAACCATCGAGGTAACCTGGAGGCCAGGTCCCAGAGAATGGGGAAACAAAAGCCTAAGAAAACCCAAACCTGTTTTAGCATCACTTTATCATTCAGCTTATCTTGAAGCATCTGTCTCTAAAAATCAACCTCTCTGCACACCCTGGGGCACAGCTGAAGGAGCTGCTCCCTGCAAGAGCAAGATGCAAAACTTGGCCTTTTCTGTGCTGAAGAAGAAACCTCGCCCAGCCCTCTCCCCTGAGAGCTCCGGGGACACTGACTGTGGGGGCACAGGGCTGTGCCTGCCCAGGTGCTGTCTTACCGAGCTGCTGGGGCCTGGCTGCTCCTTCCATTCAGCCTCTCCACCTTGTACTCCACACCCTCGATGATGACGCTGGACTGCACGGCCTCGGGCACCTGCCTCCCCTCCTCATCCTCCTCAGCTTCCTCCTCCAGCAGAAGGGCTCGTTGCTGCTGCAGCTTGCGGGCTGCCAGGGAGACAGGAGGCAGCTTACACCAGAGAGCACTGGCTGAACCCCCAGGATGGGACTGTGGGCAGGTCCTGACAATGAACCCCCAAGAGATTCAGTCCTGACACTGAAAGCCCAGGATTGGACCTCTGGGCATGTCCTGACACTGAATCCCCCAGGATGGGACTGTGGGCAGGTCCTGACAATGAACCCCCAAGAGATTCAGTCCTGACACTGAAAGCCCAGGATTGGACCTCTGGGCATGTCCTGACACTGAACCCCTCTGGGAAGGTCCTGACACTGAATCCCCAGGATGGGACCTCTGGGCAGGTCCTTACGCTTCTCATCCCTGCAAGTCTGGGCTGGTTTCAGTCCACCCCCTCTCCATGAACACCTTTGTTCCTCCACACTTCCACCAATGCTTCAGATGAAACAAACTCTGCATGGATTCCTCAGTCCCCTCCTCTTTATCCACCAGACTTCCATCCCTGGACACCCAATGGGCAGATTTCCAGCAGATTTCCTAGTGTTCTCATGCTCACACTGGAAATTGGGCAGTCTCTCCTGCCCTTTCCCCAGAGGGAAGGAAGAGCCCTGAGAGTCTGCATCTCCTCCCTGGCCTCCTGCAGGAGCCAAGGCTGGGTGCTGCTGCCGGTCCCATGCATGGCAGTGGCCCTGGGGACAGTTCTGCTGGTGAGCACACACGTCACAAGAGGGTCAGAGGAGATAGCAGCAGGCAGCTCTCTGGGGCAGGTGTCCTGCAGGTCACCCAGGGGTGTGCCTCAGTGTTCAGGCCTGGGGACAGCTCTGGGCAAGATTTTTATTAATGATTTTATCTGCCTGCAGGAGCTGAATGCAACAGTAACACTCTGCTGCTGATGCCAAACTGGGAGCTGCTGGTGACTCTCTCAAGGGCCATGAAGCCTCACAGCAGGGTCCAGACAGGCTGGAACCTTGGGCAGCCATTAGTGGCATGAAACTGAACCAGAGCAAATGCCAGGTCCAGGTATGATTTGGAGAGGAGTGGCTGGAGAGCTCAATAAAAATGCTTTTTTCCACTTCACATTGTTCCTTATCACCTCCTAAGCAACTCTCAAGCGAGAGGAAATGACATCAAAAAGGAGAGCAGCAATGTAGCTCCTAGTGCACCCCTAAAGCAGCACAGTGAGCTCTGAGAGGTCTGAGCTCTCCTGCCAGTCCTGTGTGAAGGTGCCACTCAGCTGGCAGCTGGCACAGACCCAGTGTGTGCAGTGGCTTTACAAATGTCTCTGAAGGGTTTGCCAGCTGCAGGCACAGAGCCCAGACAGGGACACTGGAATGCTCCCTGGGCTGAAGCCCCTCTGCTCTGCAGGGAGAGCTCTGTCAGAGCTGAACTGCTCAGCCTGGAGAGGAGAAGGCTGCAGGCAGAACTCACTGCAGCCCTGCAGCACCAGAGGGGCTCCAGGAGACTGGAGAGGGGCAGGGATGAGTGGGATTTGGGAAGGAACCCTGCCCAAGGAGGGTGGGCCATGGGCTGCCCAGAGCCCTGGAAGTGTTCCAGGCCAGACTGGATGGGGCTTGGAGCCACTGGTGTGAGGCAAGGTGTCCTTGTCCATGGCAGGGGAGGCACTGAGTGGGTTAAAAGTCCCTCCAACCCAAACCATTCTGTGATTCCATGATACAGGGCACCTGAAACTACAGCACTTCACCAACCCAGGAAGTACCAGCGCAGCATCCACAGAATTCTTCAGCATTCACTTCAAATTATTCCCAGGCCTTACAATAACCACCCCTGGGCTTCTGGAAGTGCTGCATTTCTGTGGGAAAGGCATCACTTAACAGCACAATCCTCTGTGCACACATTCCTACGTACCTTCCTCCTCTTTCATTTTCTTCAGGTCATCCTCCCCCACCAAGGAAACACGCTTGGGAGGCTTGTCCAGGTGCTGCTGCTTCACCTCAATCTCAAAATACTTCTGCCTCTCACGGAAGGACCTCTGCTCAGGGCTGTGCTGTCCCCCAGGGCTGTGTGCGGCCACCTGCAAGAGCCACACCATTGCCCACGGGCCACCCAGGCACAGCTCTGCCCACCCAGGCACCCCCCTGCCCACCCAGGCACAGCACTGCCCACCCAGGCACAGCTCTGCCCCCCAGGCACAGCACTGCCCACCCAGGCACAGCACTGCCCCCCAGGCACAGCACTGCCCACCCAGGCACAGCTCTGCCCACCCAGGCACACCCCTGCCCACCCAGGCACAGCTCTGCCCACCCAGGCACAGCACTGCCCACCCAGGCACAGCTCTGCCCACCCAGGCACAGCTCTGCCCACCCAGGCACAGCTCTGCCCATGGGCACCCTCCCCATGCCACCCCATCCCTTGCTCTGCCAGCTGCCCCATTGTCTCCTCCTCCTCCCCAGCCCTCCCACACCATGACCCCATCTCCCCATCCACACCCCATGGCTCCCACCCTCCCCAGCCCCAGCACTCACCTCCGAGGCCAGTTTGGTGTTTTCTGTGCTGCTCTGACCAGACAATTCCTAAGAACAGAGAGAAATAAGCATGTTCTAAAAGGGAAGTTTCCAGTCATGTGCCCCAAGGCCAGGTGAGGTGACACAGGTCCCCAAAATGTCCCAGAATTTGCACAGATTTAACAAGGTTTAGCAATGGTCAGGAATGAGTATTTATGTTAAACTGAGGCTTAAACAGAACCTGAAAGGGAGACACTGAAAATCACGGGAAACAGGCACCAAACAGGAGCAGGGGCTGAGCTAGGGCTGGAGGGGGTTCACAGGAGCTGGCAAGAGCCACTCACACTTTGCTTACATCAAAGACAAAACCAAAATTTACTTTAAAGAAGCAGAGATGCCATCAGAAAGAACAAAATCTGTATTTACTGGCATGTATAACAGAATATTGGATGAACAGAACTACAGGGGGAGGAAACTGATTCACAAAATCCATCTGTTAACCAGGAATCCACAGGGGCAAACTGAGAACTGCAAACCAGTCATGGAAAAGAAAGAAGTTTTATCATTAGACAAACTGAAATGACCCACTAAAAGAGAGCAAGGAGATGATCTCTGGCTTTATACAAACACTCCAAAAATTAATTCAGAATTCAGAACTTGAGTGGATCTGCCTGAGCAACCTCCTACAACTCTGGAGACGTTTGACCAATGCTCTTAGGCCCATGGTGGAAGTCCTGGGGGTGTCCTGAGCTGGACCTGATGATCCTTGTGGGTCCCTTCCAGATGGGGATGTTCCAGGATTCTAGGATTCCAGGATTCTAGGATTCCAGGATTCCAGCACCAAAGGCTGCCCTGTTTTGTAGGGAGAACTGAGGCAATGACCTCCAAGGCTTTAGCTAGCCTGGACTGTTCCAGGATTCAGCTAGATGGCAGGGAAAAGGAAGAGTCCCAGCGAAGATCAAAATCTATCCAAAAATGTCTCAGCACAGGTTTAGCCTGGCCCTGGTGTCTGGAATTTCAGAATTCCTTTGCATGGTTGTACATCAGTGTCCCAGTGTCTGGGGAGAACAACAATGTGTGAGATTCCATGAGCTTCCAGGACCTGACACAGACAGGACCCTGCCAGGATGAACATCTCATCACCAACACAGGACCTGCCAGGATGAACATCCCATCACCAACACACTCCAACAGGACCTGACACAGACAGGACCCTGCCAGGATGAACATCTCATCACCAACACAGGACCTGCCAGGACGAACATACCATCACCAACAACACACTCCAACAGGACCTGGCACAGACAGGACCCTCCCAGGATGAACGTCACCAACACACTCCAACAGGACCTGACACAGACAGGACCTGCCAGGATGAACATCTCATCACCAACACAGGACCTGCCAGGATGAACATCCCATCACCAACACACTCCAACAGGACCTGACACAGACAGGACCTGCCAGGATGAACATCTCATCACCAACACACTCCAACAGGACCTGGCACAGACAGGACCTGCCAGGATGAACATCCCATCACCAACACACTCCAACAGGACCTGGCACAGACAGGACCCTCCCAGGATGAACGTCACCAACACACTCCAACAGGACCTGACACAGACAGGACCTGCCAGGATGAACATCTCATCACCAACACAGGACCTGCCAGGATGAACATCCCATCACCAACACACTCCAACAGGACCTGGCACAGACAGGACCTGCCAGGATGAACATCCCATCACCAACACACTCCAACAGGACCTGACACAGACAGGACCCTCCCAGGATGAGCATCTGCACACTCCAACAGGACCTGGCACAGACAGGACCTGCCAGGATGAACATCTCATCACCAGCCCACTGCAGCTCCCACAGGACCTGGCCGGGTCCCTGCTGTGCAGCAGCTGTCCCTGGAGGGCACACATCCCCCCGTGCTGGCCTGCTGAGTCCTGGCTGGTGTCCCCAGCAGCTGGGTTACCTGTGTCCCCAGCAGGGGCTGGGACAGGGGCACTGCAGCAAAGGTCTTGTAGGCCTGCTTGACGTTGATGGGCACCTCGTCAGGGGAGGGTGGCGACGGCGGCGACGGCTTTGGCTGCGGGACACACAGGAGCAAAGGTGAGCACAGAGGGGGAAAACCCACGTGGGGAAACACATCCAAGGCTTGGCTGCAGAGCCCGGTGAGGGGGATCGGGGAAGGAATAGGTCAGGGAACACGTCAGGAGTCTGTAAGCCTTGGAAGGGTGCTGCTGAGCCCTGGGCAGGACCACCAGGAGCAGACACTGCACACACACTGTACACAGCAGCCCGTTCTGTTCCATGGACAGTGAAGGAATGGCACTTTTGGTGGCACAGATCTTCACTGACCTGATGGGAATGTTGTGACAGATCCTCTGGCCAAGGGCAAATTGCTGTCCCAGTCCTTGAGGATTTCCACCCAATTCAACCAGCAAGTGCCTACCTGAATCAGGGTTTTTGGGCTGGAACAGGACAGCTACACATTGACTTCTATTTAGGATCCCGCCAGTGGAAGGTGTCCCTGTCTTTAAGGTCCCTCCCAACCCAAAGCACCCTGTGATTCCAGGATCTGATCCAAGGATCTGTGATGGGAAGATCTGCCCTTGATCTCAAATTTTTCATTTGCAGAATTACACTTACTGGGAAACATCTGACAAGGTCTGAGGGGACCTTCCTAGTGCTTGTCACTGCCTTTGCTGGTCACTTCCTCACCCACCTTCCCTGTGAGCCCTCCTGCAGCACTGGGGGGACCTGCTCAAAGCATCACAGAAACGGCAGGGGTGGGGGGCAATGGCACCTCCTTCTCCTGGAAAGTAAATCCCTTTGAGCTGCTCATCCCTCCAGCTGCACTAATCCAGCTCCAGGCCTTCTGGCTTTCCTTAGTCCTGGACTAGGGCTAAGCAATGCTGTCCGATGATGCTCCTGCATGGGCTAAAGGACAGCACAGTGAGATCAGGAGAGCCTGTGAAATGTGAACCATGCCCAGTTCCATGCACTCTGTACAGCTGTCTGCCTGCAAATCAGGTCTCTGCTTTGGTACCACACTGTACCAGCTCCAGCAGGGAGAGAAGGGTTGGATTCATGGAATCTCACCCAGCGTGGTTTGTGTGGGAAGGGACTGAAAGCCCATCCAGTCCCTCCCCCTGTCATGGGCAGGGACACCTTCCACTTTTATACTGAAGGGACACAGGTCTTCCCTCATGACAAAGACAAAAAGACCTGTATTTTTCTCCCCCATCAACCAACAGCCCCAGGAACATGAACCTTTCAAAACCAATCATTTGCATACCATAAAGCCCATCAGCAGGATGGCATCAGCTTTTGTTCCAAGGTGTCAGAACCCAGGTTCTGTAAGATTTATGTCTCCACAGAACTCAACATCTCACAAATACGGCCCTAAACCTGTATCTGCTCTGGGGATTTTGGCACAAATTCTTCAGCAGTGCTGACTCCTGGGACAGGGCCTTGGAGACATGGGGCAGCTGGGGAGAAATAGGAGGGATGCACTGACCTGGCCCTGCCTGTGAGGAGTGTGGGTCCCTCTCAGGGAGCCCAGACTGGGCATGGCCAGCACCAGCCTCAGCCCAGGCACGTGGTCACCAAACCAGGGTGACCAGGCACATGGTCATCAAGCCAGGGTGACCAGGCACATGGTCACCAAACCAGCGTGACCAGGCATGTGGTCACTAAACCAGAGTGACCAGGCACGTGGTCACCAAACCAGGGTGACCAGGCATGTGGTCACCAAACCAGTGACCAGGCACGTGGTCACCAAACCAGAGTGACCAGGCACGTGGTCACTAAACCAGAGTGACCAGGCACGTGGTCACCAAACCAGGGTGACCAGGCACATGGTCACCAAAACAGAGTGACCAGGCATGTGGTCACTAAACCAGAGTGACCAGGCACATGGTCACAAACCAGGGTGACCAGGCACGTGCTCACCAAACCAGGGTGACCAGGAACATGGTCACAAACCAGGGTGACCAGGCACATGGTCACCAAAACAGAGTGACCAGGCATGTGGTCACTAAACCAGAGTGACCAGGCACGTGGTCACTAAACCAGGGTGACCAGGCACATGGTCACCAAACCAGAGTGACCAGGCACGTGGTCACAAACCAGAGTGACCAGGCACGTGGTCACTAAACCAGAGCCACCTCTGGGAGGGTTCCTGCCCCATGACATGACACTGCAGCCCCCGGGGCAGCCACAAGGCTCTGGGAGGGAAGCCTGGCCACTTACAGAGCTGTGGGTCCTGAAGCAGGGCTGGGGCTGCTGGAAGGGGTTGGGGCTGTCCCCCTCCTCGGCCCTGTGTGCCACAGCAGCGCTCGGTCGCACGCGGGAGAGAGGCTGAATGACGCCAGGCTTGGTCTGCTCGTGCCAGGGCCCAGGACAGCGTGGGGAAGGCAGAGGAGGACAAGGGGGGAGAAAGAGAAGAGAAACGAGCAGTTAGGGCAGTGAGGTGCCTGCCATGCAGGTGAATAAACAAATCCATGCAAATCCATGCACCCCCACTTCTCTCCTCAGCTGTGCTGCCTGCTGCAGCTGCAGGACTGGCAGGGAGAGCTCCTGGAGCCAACACCAAAGGAGACTCAGCCAAGGAAGGGTTACACAGCACCAGCGGACTGCAGAGAAGGCCAGGACAAAAGGAAGCACCTGCCATACCAGCAGCAGCTACAAGGGTTGGCAGGGTATAGGTAGGTGTGACCAAGCTCAGAAAATGTGAGCACCAGGGACGGAAGGAGGGAAACATCAGCCAGGAATGGGAATTGGCAGAAGCTGTGGATGGAAGTGAACCAGACTGAGTCAGAGCTCTGATGAGAAATGCAGTCAGACTGGAGCAGAGGTGAGAGGCTAAAACTTCTCCTAGATGTCACCATCACTGCTGGACATTGTGTGAAAGTGAGCAGAGCACCTGCAACTGGAGGGAGTGGCAGCAGGAACTGGGTAAGCCAGCAAAACCTGCAGGAGGGGAAGCTGCGAGGGGAAACAGCAAAAAAAGCTGCAAAAACTGTTAGGCTGGGTTTTCAGACAGACCATATTTGAGACCTGATGCATTTGTACAAACTCGAGGCATAGTGGAGGACTGGAGGAGACAGAACAGGAGCCAAGAGGAGGAAGAAACAAGCTCCATGTGCTGGGGGATGCACAGGGACAGCACAGTCAGGTCTCAGGGCAGCTGTACTCACTGATTTACTGTCATCCTGCGATGTAATGAAGTTAATGGAAGCCTGCAGACAGAAATACAGGGGTAAATCTGGAGTCTGAAAGCCTTTAGTTTACCCCTGCCCCACGGCCCACCCTGTGTGGGGAGCTCCAGGTTCCACAGTACCTCCTTCTTCAAGTGAGGACAGGCCAGAGCCCACCTGCACGAGCCTCTCCCAGCCCCTGTGCTCTGTGAGGAGGCCCTCAGAGCTCTCTGCACATCTCCAGACTCTGAGCCCAACTCTGGGACAGTCCTGGCCCATGGGCACAGCCCCTGCCTCTGGTCCCTGGGCACATCTCTAGGTCCTGGCCCGTGGTCACAGTCCCTGCTCCTGTCTCCTGCTCACCACCCCCTGGTCCCTGGGCACATTCCCTGGGCACATTCCCTGGGCCCATCCCCACCCTGCACACTTGCCCCAGCCCGAGCAAAGCTGTCCCCCAGCAGCTCCTCCCCAAGCACTGGCAGGTGCCACCACAGCAGCAGCTGACAGGGAGCAGCCCCTCGTGCCTCGGGTGCCACTGGGGTGCTGCTCCCCTGGGGAGCCCCAGGGGACGCCAGGACCCCGTGGGGATGCTGAGTCTCCATGGGGATGCCAGGACCCCGTGGGGATCCTGAGTCTCCATGGGGATGCCAGGACCCCATGGGGATCCTGAGCCTCCATGGAGATGCCAGGATCCCGTGGGGATGCCAGGACCCCGTGGGGATGCTGAGCCCCCAAGGGGATGCCAGGATCCCATGGAGATGCCAGGACCCCGTGGAGCCCCTGTGGGGATGCCAGGTCCCCGTGGGGATGCCAGGCCCCCGTAGGGATGCCAGGTCCCCGTGGGGATGCCGGGATCCCATGGAGATGGCAGGACCCCATGGAGCCCCAGTGGGGCCCCTGTGGGGATGCTGGGCCCCTGTGGGGCCCCCGTGGGGATGGCAGGTCCCTGTGGGGTCCCCCTGGGGATGCCAGGTCCCCCGTGGAATCCCGAGCCCCTGTGGGATCCCCTGTGGCCCCGTGGGGCAGCGCAGGGCAGCACAGGGCAGCGCAGCAGCGGCAGCGAGCAGAGCGCACACCGCACACCACGAGCAGCACTTACAAAGCGCGTCTCCCTGCCGGCCAGGTGAGGGGCCCGGGGGGCTGAGGGCACCTGGAGGGAGGGGCAGCAGCAGGGAGAGAACGGGAGAGAAAACGGAGACACTGGGTTTTCCACAGGAGAGCAGCAGAGAGGCTGCAGCAGCACGGGGGAAGCCCCCTGCGCTGCCTGGCACACACAGGAGACCCAGCACAGACACCTCCTGCCTCCCCCACACCCGTGCAGAGCTCAGGCCAGGCATGACCCTCACGGTGCCTGCTCAACCCTCACCGTGCCTGGTCGACCCTCTCAGTGCCTGCTTGACCTTCACCGTGCCTGCTCAACCCTCACAGTGCCTGCATGACCCTCACCGCGCCTGCTCGACCCTCATGGTGCCTGCTCAACCCTCACGGTGCCTGCTCAACCCTCACCATGCCTGCTCAACCCTCACTGCGCCTGCTCGACCCTCATGGTGCCTGCTCGACCCTCACAGCTCCTGCTCGACCCTCACCGTGCCTGCTTGACCTTCACCGTGCCTGCCCGACCCTCATGGTGCCTGCTTGACGCTCACAGTGCCTGCTCGACCCTCTCAGTGCCTGCTCGACCCTCACGGTGCCTGCTCGACCCTCACCGTGCCTGCTCGACCCTCACAGAGCCTGCTCGACCCTCTCCATGCCTGCTCGACCCTCACAGCACCTGGTCAACCCTCACGGCGCCTGCCCGACCCTCACGGTGCCTGCTCAACCCTCACAGCTCCTGCTTGACCTTCACCATGCCTCCTCGACCCTCACCATGCCTGCCCGACCCTCACTGTGCCTGCTTGACCCTCACTGTGCCTGCTCGACCCTCTCCATGCCTGCTTGACCCTCACAGCGCCTGCTCGACCCTCACTGTGCCTGCCCGACCCTCACGGTGCCAGCTCGACCGTCACCCCCTCACCGTGCCTGCCCGACCCTCTCCATGCCTGCTGGACCCTCACAGTGCCTGGTCAACCCTCACAGCACCTGCCCGTCCCTCACTGTGCCTGCCCGACCCTCACCATGCCTGCCCGACCCTCACGGTGCCTGCCCGACCCTCACCGTGCCTGCTCAACCCTCATGGCGCCTGCTCGACCCTCACAGTGCCTCCTCGACCCTCTCCATGCCTGCTGGACCCTCACAGCGCCTGCTAGACCCTCACAGATCCTGCTCGACCCTCACCATGCCTGCTCGGGATAAAGGATTCCATTTCCCTCAAGGAATTCTCTGAAATCAGCCAATCAATTCTGGCTGGAGTACAAGATGTTGGAACCAAAGAATTAACACTAAAAATAGATGGAGCCAGCGAGTAAGAGACAAAATTCCTTGGAACTTCTGCTCTGCAGCAACAACCTGAAAGTCAAGACTCCTGAATGCCTAGAACAGGAGAGATCTGGGACTGCTCAGGCTGGAGAAGAGAAGGCTGCAGGGAGCCCTTAGAGGCCCTTCTAGTGTCCTAAAGGGCTCCAGGAGAGCTGGGGAGGGACCTTGGGCAAGGGCCTGGAGGGACAGGACAGGGGGGAATGGCTTCCCACTGACAGAGGCAGGGAAGGATGAGATTTTGGGAGGAAATTTTTTCCTTCAAGGGTTGGGAGGCCATGGCACAGGGTGCCCAGAAGCTGTGGCTGCCTCTGGATCCCTGGAAGTGTCCAAGGCCAGGCTGGATAGGGATTGGAGCAGCCTGGGACAGGGAAAGGAGACCCTGCCCATGGCAGGGGGCTGGAATGAAATTGTCTTGAAGGTCCCTTCCCACCCAAACCATCCTGGGATTCTGTGAAATCCAGTCTCAAAGAAATAAAGAAAATTGCCACTTGTGATAAAAGGAAAACTTACAAAAAATACAGCTGCTGTCAAAAATGTAAATAAGGAAACACAGCTGGAACAAAGTCCATTGGAATAGATCAGCTGTAACACTATCTTCTAATTATGCTGGGTTCCTAATGAACCTGCTCAACCCTCACGGTGCCTGCTCAACCCTCACCGTGCCTGGTCGACCCTCTCAGTGCCTGCTTGACCTTCACCATGCCCGCCCGACCCTCACGGTGCCTGCCCGACCCTCACCGTGCCTGCTCGACCCTCATGGCGCCTGCTCGACCCTCACAGTGCCTCCTCGACCCTCTCCATGCCTGCTGGACCCTCACAGCGCCTGCTAGACCCTCACAGATCCTGCTCGACCCTCACCATGCCTGCTCGGGATAAAGGATTCCATTTCCCTCAAGGAATTCTCTGAAATCAGCCAATCAATTCTGGCTGGAGTACAAGATGTTGGAACCAAAGAATTAACACTAAAAATAGATGGAGCCAGCGAGTAAGAGACAAAATTCCTTGGAACTTCTGCTCTGCAGCAACAACCTGAAAGTCAAGACTCCTGAATGCCTAGAACAGGAGAGATCTGGGACTGCTCAGGCTGGAGAAGAGAAGGCTGCAGGGAGCCCTTAGAGGCCCTTCTAGTGTCCTAAAAGGCTCCAGGAGAGCTGGGGAGGGACCTTGGGCAAGGGCCTGGAGGGACAGGACAGGGGGGAATGGCTTCCCACTGACAGAGGCAGGGAAGGATGAGATTTTGGGAGGAAATTTTTTCCTTCAAGGGTTGGGAGGCCATGGCACAGGGTGCCCAGAAGCTGTGGCTGCCTCTGGATCCCTGGAAGTGTCCAAGGCCAGGCTGGATAGGGATTGGAGCAGCCTGGGACAGGGAAAGGAGACCCTGCCCATCGCCTGCTAGACCCTCACAGATCCTGCTCGACCCTCACCATGCCTGCTCGGGATAAAGGATTCCATTTCCCTCAAGGAATTCTCTGAAATCAGCCAATCAATTCTGGCTGGAGTACAAGATGTTGGAACCAAAGAATTAACACTAAAAATAGATGGAGCCAGCGAGTAAGAGACAAAATTCCTTGGAACTTCTGCTCTGCAGCAACAACCTGAAAGTCAAGACTCCTGAATGCCTAGAACAGGAGAGATCTGGGACTGCTCAGGCTGGAGAAGAGAAGGCTGCAGGGAGCCCTTAGAGGCCCTTCTAGTGTCCTAAAAGGCTCCAGGAGAGCTGGGGAGGGACCTTGGGCAAGGGCCTGGAGGGACAGGACAGGGGGGAATGGCTTCCCACTGACAGAGGCAGGGAAGGATGAGATTTTGGGAGGAAATTTTTTCCTTCAAGGGTTGGGAGGCCATGGCACAGGGTGCCCAGAAGCTGTGGCTGCCTCTGGATCCCTGGAAGTGTCCAAGGCCAGGCTGGATAGGGATTGGAGCAGCCTGGGACAGGGAAAGGAGACCCTGCCCATGGCAGGGGGCTGGAATGAAATTGTCTTGAAGGTCCCTTCCCACCCAAACCATCCTGGGATTCTGTGAAATCCAGTCTCAAAGAAATAAAGAAAATTGCCACTTGTGATAAAAGGAAAACTTACAAAAAATACAGCTGCTGTCAAAAATGTAAATAAGGAAACACAGCTGGAACAAAGTCCATTGGAATAGATCAGCTGTAACACTATCTTCTAATTATGCTGGGTTCCTAATGAACACTCAATTCTAAATGATCCAAAACTGAGGGAGATGTGGGACAGGCTGAGAAGGAACAGAGGCTGGACTCAAGTGCTGCTCCTGCTGCTTCCTGCAGGTCCTGACTCTGTCCTCAGCCTGTCCCAGCAGCCACCTCACCCCCAGGGGACTCTGTCCACCTCCAGAGCTCCTGTCCAGGAGCTGAAATGGTTCACTGAAGGGCAGGGAAGTGCCAGAGCTGTGGGGAGAGCAGCTGGAGGACAGCTGGACTCCAAAAGGAATCAACAGACCCAAACTGACCAAGGACAGAGAACAAAGAACAACTGGCAATTCACTCCAGCCCCCAGTATAAAACCCAGTAATGGGCAATGACTGTAAAGGGAAAATTTAAAATTCTCTTTAAGTTCATTTAACTTCAAAAGGCTCAACTGAGCTGTGACACCTCCTGCCGTGGGATGGACAGGGGGATCAAAGACTCTGATATTGAAAACTTCAGAGACAAATAAGGAATACAAATGTCAAGGAATAAGAGGTAATGTTTATACAGAAAAAAATCATCAGAAGTTACAAAAACAAAGATACTTCCCACGGCAGAGGGAAAGCCTCTAGCAAGGAGCTGCAGCAAATCACTCCCTGAGGGCAGGGTCACCCAGAGCTGGCTGCAGCAGGACCTTCCACCTCCTGCCCAGCAGCTCTGCAGGCTCACACAGAGAACCAGGCATCCTCTGCAGGCCTGGGCAGCCCTGCTTTGCAGACCCAAATCCTGACTCCTCCATTTCTTACCACACGCCAGCTGCCAGAATTAAGGAATCTCTGTACAAGGCACTGGTCCAAAAAGACCATTCCCAAAAAAGTCACAACTACATGTTGTAGCCCCTCCTCATCACGCTGCAATTAAGCTACCCCTCAGAGCTCATTTCTGACCAGCTAATTACCCTTCTGGCTCTCTGGGACACTCTGAAGGAGGGAGTTGCTCTCTTGCTCTCTGCTTGCTGGCTGTGATGGATCCCCTCCACCCTGACAGGCTCACTCCAGGATGGGAATTGCCCTCAGCTACCTCTGTCCTTTACCCCTGGAAGCGCCTCCCTGCCCTTCCCACATCACCTGTCCTGGGGGCAGTCTCACCTGCGGATTACTGGGAGAATAGGGGGATTCACGCCTGGAATTTCCGGTCCCAGACTCGCCCACAGGAGCCTGAAAGAGAGAAGACAAAGCTGAGGAGGAAGCTCGAGTGTTACTCCACAGTAGGAGGGGGTCTGGACAGCCCAGGGGCATGGGACACCCTGCACATCCAGGGAGCAAGGCTAGCAGGGCCCAGCAGCAGCTGGCACATGCCAAAAAGCGCCAGGAACAGTGAGGGAATGACGTTAAACACCGGGATCACATCCCAGCACCCTGCGAGGCCAGCTGGATCAGGTTACAGCCTCTGCACGTCCCGGGAATCCTCCTCCCTGACTCCCACAGTCCTCACAGGCAGGGTCACGCTCCAGGCAAACCTCCTGTGCACAGACACTGAGCAAAGAAAGCCATTCCTGGCTGCAGGGCTCTCCTGGCTCCCAGAGCAACCTCTGGCACCAAGGCTCAGCTGCTAGCAGCCTGCCCCAGCAGCTGAAAAGAGAGCAGTGTCCAGGAACACCTGCACTGCAGAGAGCAGTGTCCTAGAGAGCAGCATCCCAGGAACCACCTGCACCCCAACTGCAGCACCAGCGGCACCTTTCACAAGGATTTCTAATGCCTTAAGGTAGAGACAGGTCATTTGGGATTTAGGGAACTATTTAGGCAAACCTACAGCTCTCAGTCACTAACACCACAGCCAGTTGAATCAAGGCAGTATTTTGACACACCGAGCCTGAAGTGACCTGAGGTTTATACTGGAGCACAGATTTTAGATACCTTGCTCTAAGCTCACCTGGCTACACACCTGAGAAATTCCTAGCAAGGAACTGAACCACCTCCAAGATCACTACAGCTGAGGACTGGGTTTGTTGACTGGTTAGTTGATCTGCTGTGTATGGGGCTGCTTATGTGGGGCTGCTTTGATTTTCAGACCTCCCAAAAGGCTTTAAAAGGAAGAAGGGGAGAGCATGTAGTGTTCATCTGGAGGGTGGTATCTTTGGGTCCAGTCCCTGCTCCACCACGGGTTCCCTGTGCAACAGCAGGGATGTCAAATACAGATTTCCCAGAACAGAAAGCTAAATTCTCCCTTGGAATTCCCAAGTCTTGATCTACTGAATGGTGTCACTTGGGAGGAGCAGCCCCTAGGCTGCAGACCTACTGTGTTTTCCAGATGTTTTCCAGATGTTTCCACAGTCCAGAGAAGGGCTGTGCTCAGGGCCAGGGACAGAAGTGTGGCACCAGCACTGATCCCTACCAGCGCTGCCAGCTGCCCGCCGCCAGCCGGGCAGGCAGGGATGCCCCTGCTCCCAGCCAGACCCCGAGGGACAGCAGAGAGGTCACAGATGCCATCCTGTCCCCACATCCCCAGCACGTGTTGGTGGCCAGAGGATGACACAGTGACCTGGGGACCGCTGGCCTGCATGTGGCACGGGGTGGGGGCACACGGGGCGGGGACCGGCCCTCGGGCGCCGTGCTGCCCGGTGCCAGGGTTTAGTAGGGTGCAGTGGCCCGGGCTGTGTCAGTGCATGCCACACACCACACGCTGCTTGCCTTGGAGTACAGGCTGGTCTTCAGCACGCCCTCCCTGCCATAGCCCAGGGGAGGCCCCCCCAGGCCAGCCGTGCCCGTGGCCTTGCCCCTGCGGTTGGCCACCACAAAGGGGTTCTCACTGAAGGGGATGGGCTGCGAGTCGATCAAGCACTCTGGCGTCTCTGGCAGCTGCTCCTGGGACAAGGGACACCCCTCGGGGTCCTGCTGGTCTCCCTGGGGCTGCTGTGCCCCACTCGTGTGCTGCTGGGGAGGCACGGGGAGCTGAGGGGGCCCGGCCGTGCCCGCTGCCGGCTCCGGGGACGCGTCCCGGCCGTGCCACACCCGCGGGGACAGCACGGCAGTGTCACCCTCCATGCTGCAGCTGGGCTTAGAGCACTCAACAGGCTGAGAGGAAACAGAAGGATCGGAGAGAAATGAGAAGAACAGAGCAAAGAAGAGGAGGGAGAAAATACAGAGCAGCTGCTGAAGGACAGGGGAGAGAATTCCAGTGCTAAGGCCTGCACAGCATCCCGACCCTCTCTCCTGCTGTGCCACCAATCTGTGACCCTCAGTGCCACTCCCGGGAGAGGAGCCTGCTGTGCACACACAGCCCAGGGAGCTGACAGGCTGCACTCCTCCCACTCACACACCTTCCTGCAGCTGCTGCCCAGCCAAACCCACCTCCAACACCTGTACCAGCACATGCTCCCCCCCACCTCAGCACACAGTCTCAGTACTGCTGGGGTTGGAAGGCATCTCTGGAGATCCTCCAGTTCAACCCCACTTCACTGAGCCCACCACCTATGGCCCAGCCTCTGCTGTCACCCCAACACTGCCACAGAGTCACACCACACCCCTGTGCACTCCCACCACACCTGCTCAGGTGAACATGCTTTAAGGCTCACAGCACACCCCAAACACCAGAGCACAGTGAGCACAGACCCTTTGGGTGGCTCCTGCTGATGGCAGGACTGAGGCAGCCCCAGCTCTGTCAGGCTCAGTGCACACAGCCCCAGCGAAGCCCTGATCTCCCCTTAATGCCACAGAAGAGAGTTTGTTACCCCAGCCAGAGCCTTCCTCAGGGGAGCAGGGACAGCCAGAGAGCAAAGACCAAAGCTTCCATCCAAGTGCCTCCAGGGAGCAGAAAGACCTCTCTTGCTCAGAGCAAATTCTTCAGCTCCTGTGTCATGGCAGTGGTCACCAAAATAGCTCTCAGGGGTGGGCTGGTGACTACAATGGCAGCTGGGAGGCTCAGGAATTTCAGAGGCCCTCCCCTAACCCCCAACCCAACCTCTGTGGTTGGCAGAGCCCTGGCTCATATCGTGTTTCCTCACCAATGAAGCCTGTGCTACCCTGGGACATTCTGCTGTGTGTGATTTTTCAGTGTAAAACCCTACTTTTAGCCCCTTTTCTCCCAAGTGCCATCATGCCTGATGGTCAGCGGGCAGCCTCAGCCCCTGTTTTGTTCCTGGGCCCAGCTGGACCTGGCCTGGGTCTGTGTCTCCCTGTAAGCTCCAGCTCCTGCTGCAGCACGTCCTGGTGGGGGATTCCTCCTCCCCAACCTCACCAGGGCTATTCCTGTCAGACAAGCCACAATTTCTATTTTGGGTAAGCAAGAATTTGGGCAATGCAGCGAGCTTTCCCAGCTTGCAGACAGAGCAGACACGTGCTACCCTGCATCCTCCCTGGCACTGAAAGAAATCCAATCTTAAATCCGTGAATAAGTGAAAAAAAGGAATCAGTGGCAAGAAACTGAAGAGAAATAGATTCAGAAGAGAAAGTACAGGCTGCTAATTAGCTAATCATGGTGACCTGATACTGAGACATGCCAAGTCTTCTCCATCTCTCATAGCCCAGAAAGCAAAACTAGACTTTGATGGTTTTGCTGTGATCGGTCCCTCAGGGGTGTGCCTTTCATTCCTGTTCAATGCAGAAGACAGAGACTAGCAGCTCTTTGACTTCTGTAAGGGAAATGTCAGAGAGTCACAGAATCCCAGGATGGTTTGGGTGGGAAGGGACATGAAAGCTCATATTGTTCCACCCTCCAGGGACACCTTCCACTGAAGCAGGCTGCTCCAAGTCCCATCCAACCTGGCCTTGGACACTTCCAGGGATCCAGGGGCAGCCACAGCTTCTCTCCAGAGGCTGCAGTGCACTGCAACCTCCAGGGACACCTTCCACTGAACCAGGCTGCTCCAAGTCCCATCCAACCTGGCCTTGGACACTTCCAGGGATCCAGGGGCAGCCACAGCTTCTCTCCAGAGGCTGCAGTGCACTGCATGGCCAAAAAGCATCCTCCAAACAAGCATTCCCATGCTGCTTCCAATGGGAATTTTCAGTTTGGCTTATAACAGTGGACAAAGAGAGTGGTCATCTCGTCAGCCTTTGTTAAATCCTGCTCACAAGGGCTCCAGATGCAGCAACACAGGTGGATCCAGGACAGACAACCAGTGCTCCCTTCTCTGGTGGCTGCTCTGGGGGAATCCTCCTGACCAGCTCCACCCATAGCTGCAGTGGTCAGTGGAAGATCTACACCTCCTGCTCCACAGTGCACAGATGGACCTGCACCTCCTCCTGCTCCACAGTGCACAGATGGACCTGCACCTCCTCCTGCTCCACAGTGCACAGATGGACCTGCACCTCCTCCTGCTCCACAGTGCACAGATGGACCTGCACCTCCTGCTCTTGCTGCTCTCCACAGCAAGAGCAGCTCCCTACAGATCCCCGTGTGGCACGGGGAGGACAGGAACAGTTCCCTACAGCTCCCTCACAGGGAGCTGTGCAGCAGTAAAAGACACCCAGTCACTGTTCAGAGGAGAACACCTGTGGGGAGAACTGGCTTAGAGACAGGAAGAAGGAGGAAGCCACCATGGGAACAGGGCAAGAGCACCTGGAGGAGGCTGTCCAGAGACAGACAGTCTGCCACGGACCCGCCTGCTCCTCCACTGGCTGCACTGACCCTGGCTGGGTGTTCCAGTGGCCACCTAGCAGGCCAGGGCAGCTCCTGAAGGACCACCAGACCCTCCCTTCCCCAGGATCCAGGCAGATGTACTTTTCCAACCAGAGCAAAGACAGGGCTGGTGACAGCTGGACCAGCACAGGCACCCTTGGGGCCCTCCCTGCAATGGGACATTTATAGAAGCACCCACGGCCCCACATTCCCATGCCTGGCGTTCCCAGGCTGACACCCCTGCCAGGCACAGCCCCAGAGCTGCTCTGCTCTGCACCACACCGAGCTGTCCTGCCCCAGCTGCTGCCTGGGGCTGGCTCTCCCCTCTTCCAGCTCCCGAGTTACACTCAGAGGTGCTAAAAATAAACCTTTTCCTGATACTGCTTTGTTGTGTGAACAGCAAGAGGGAAAAACCCAAAGCTGGGAAGTGTGGGAAGAAAAGGAGGCAGAGCTGGAGCCAAAGCAGAGCTGTTACTGGAGTAAGGCCTGGAGTAACAGAGGAAAGAGAACAGGAGAGAAGACCTGTTTGCATGGAATGAGATGGAGACAGGAAGGGTAAAAGATGCTCCTGAAACCCCGGAATGGGAATGCAGAATGGGATGATGACAGCAAAGGGAGATCTTGCTGCAACAGGGGGAAAGGAGGAAGACTGAGGATGTGTAAAGGAGCAGGCAGAAACCCAGAAGAATGGGTGTGATACAGGAAAGGTAAAAGAAAGAAAAGATGGAGAGGTGAGATTTCAAACAACACAGGAGAGAGGTAAGTCTGTAATCTGTGAAGTTTGTGAAATCTGGAATTTCTCTTGGCCACTACAAGTGAGGGACTGCCAGGCAGGGCACAGGACAGGAATATCCAGAGCAGGAGTCAGGATACATGAGCCACAGGGCTCAGCCATGACACAACCACAGACACATCCCTTCTGCAGGCCTGGGGGAAGCTTGGCTTTAACAGAGCCTCAGGGCAGCTTGGGCTGGAAGAGACCCTGAGACCAGCCAGTCCCACCCTCTGCCATGGTCAGGAAAATTTCCACTAGAGCACCAGGGGTAGACACTTCCACTGAACGGATGGCTCCAAGCACTGTCCAACCTGGCCTTAAACTTCTTCTATTTTTAATACTTTCAGTTTCAGCACCCTCATCCCTCCCCCTTCCTGAACACCATCCCTTAATGGATTCACAACTGAGCTGTGCACACAACACTGCCATCACTGTGTTGGGAAGGATCTTTCTCTCCCTCCCTGGCAGCTCTCTGGAGCCTCTTCCTTCCACAACACATCCCTGCACTCCCCCACTCCCATCCCCTTCTCTCCCACCAGGCTGTTCTTTCTGCCTTGTTCCCAGCTCTGCTTTTTGCAACTTCTCCAACTTTGCCATTTCCCTTCCCAAAAGGCAAAGCTGCTTGGCTCTCGTTCTCCTCATTTTCTTATTCCCATCTTTCTTTGCAGCTCCTGGTTCAGTGCCTGAGCCCTCCACAGCTCTGCTGCCCAGTTTTCCTTTGTCACCTCCCACAGCATGGCACAGGTGGAGGGCAGGTGATGGAAGGACCATGGTCTTCCCTGCAGGGACCTCCACAGCCCCTCACAGTGCCTCCCCTGCAGGGACCCCCACCTCCACAGCCCCTCAGTGCCTCCCCTGTTGGGAATCACCCCTCCAGAGCCCCCCAGGACCCCCACTCACAGCACGGTTGCCTCTCTGCAGGCCACTGCTGGGCAGCGCGGCCAGGGTCCGGTAGTCCAGGCGCAGGGGTTCACTGGGGATGTTCTGGAGAGGGTAAAAAAACCAGGAACAGGTCAGGCCCAGAGTCAACTGAATCAATGAGAAAGAGCAATGAAAAGGGAACCACCCCAGTAATAAGCCAGGTCTTATCTCCAAACTCATCAGAGTTCCCACTATCTGGAAAAAGAGCTGGAATTGTTCAAAACACAACCACGTGAACTCGTGGCAGGAGCCAGGCTTGAGAAACCCCACAGAGAACGTGTCACTGTGCACCCCTGGGCACCCACTGCTGCTCAGACCCCTGCACTCCTCCTGCCCCATGCCCACCTCCCGATGGAGCAGAGAGCATGCCATACCCACCTGTTTGCTCCAACAGCACCTGGAATGACGGGACCTGGACACGTGTAAGAATTCAAGTCTGCAATTCCCCTACAGTTCCTTATTCCAACCTTAACTCACACTCACTGTACAACTTTGTTCCATTTTGTTCCCACATACTGCCTTTCTAACCCCAAAGAGAAGCCAAGGTTTCTAACCCAGCCCCTGTTTTCCTCAATCCCTTACACATTTCTTCATTTCTGATCTCTAATCCCCAAAGCCACATCCTCTTAGGGGAGGGAGTGGAGAACACAAAGCTTTGGGGAACAAACTCTTTCTGGGGACTTCTCTTGGGGACTTCTCCAGCTGTAGCCCTTTTCTGGGCCTCTCCAGCCCTTCCCCTGTGCTGCTCACCTCTGCTTCCTCCTCAAGCTGCTGCGTGGCTGCCTCCCGTTCCCTACGCATCCGCTCCTTCCGTGGGACAGACAGAGAGAGCAGGGAGACAAGAGAGAGGCACAGAGGTCAAACGAGCTGGGCAGCACTGCTGAGGGGACACCGGGGCAGTGCCTGCACCAGGAAAGGGGCAGCAGAAACCCAGCACCAACACTGGCACTGGGGAAGGAGGAGCTGGAACTGGGCACTGTTACTGCCAGAGAAAAGGACAGGGACAGAACAAGAACATCTGGGTGCCACAGGTGAGAAGGAAAGCAGGTGTCCCCGAGGAAAGGACAGGGACAGAACAAGAACATCTGGGTGCCACAGGTGAGAAGCAAAGCAGGTGTCCCCGAGATCCTCAGCAGGAACAATCCTGGGGAAAGTGAGAGAGCTACTGTGCCCCCAAGCACAACCACAGCAAGGGAGAGGAGTTTGCTCACTGCTGGAAGAGACACCTTGATGGAGCACAGACAGGACAGGCTGGGAGGGAATGGAAAAACAAATCCACAGAGCACAGGCCTGGCTGGCTTATAGCACCACATACAGAATGATGCAAATACATACAAAAGGACAGAAAGGTCCTGGCACGAGGTCAGCTCAGCACCAGCTGTCACTCAGCACTGCAGGGGCTTTAGACAGTGACCAGTGACTAATCCCAAAAGCCCCAGCCATGGGACTGCTCCAGGCTGCAAGAGGAAGGGAACAGGGCAGGACGTGTCCTAAGGACTGATTCTGGGCACTGATATTTCTGTGACTTGCCACCTGGCAGCTCTGGGCAGAGCCAGCCTGGGGACAGCACAGCAGCATCCTTCTCTTGTCCATGGAACCCTCCCAGCTGCTCTCCCCAAGCAGGAACCAGATGGTCCAGAAGTCCTGGCCCTGGGAGACTGGGAGGTGAAAGGCAGCTCAGAGGGATCAACTGAAAATTCTGCTGAGCACGGGGGCCCTGCTCTTTAACAGATTCCCACTGTCCCACATCACCCCGGTGGGCCCTGCTCTTTAACAGATTCCATGCACTACAGATTCCCACTGTCCCACATCACCCCGTGAGCTCCAAGCAAGGGAAAGCAGCCTGAGAAGTCACTAATGCTCTGGAGGATCACAGCTCCCAAAAGGATATTGAGGGATGTTCAAGGTAAAGTTTACTCTGAATCTGGTTATGCTTGTTTTGACCAAGAGTCCTCTGTAGGGTGAGGGTTCCAGGTGACACTAAAGTGGTGTGTGACTCTTCTCTGCAGTCACATTCTGAGCACTGACAGGAGCAGCAGTCAGCCCAGATGGAGCTGTGGCTCCAAATTCCCACAAATTTGTAGCTCCAAATTCTGCCCCAAATCAATCTCTGACAATAGCTCCAGATTCTGCTCCAGATTCTGCTCCAAATCCATCTCTGACAATAGCTGGATTAAGACTAGAAAAATAACTACAGCCACAGAGAAAGGAGAGAACACCAGGGATCAGTCCAAAGAGACTCAGAGTAACTGACACTTCTACTAGAAACTGGATTATCAGAGAACTGAAGGCAAGACGTGTCAGCAGTGAACAGGTTTGAAACTTTACCATGAGTAGAGCAGAGGCATAATTCCTCCCAGTTATTCAGTTCACAGCTTGCTGTGGGCTAGAGACACATTTGGTCTCTATTGCTCTTGTGCAAGAATGAACATGAAACACTGAGAAAAACATCTCAAAAATGGTGACAGAAATTACCAAGGATCTGGCACTGAGACAGGAACTTCCTTCAGTATTCCAACGGCCACCACGGAGTGCTGGCTCCATCACTGGGACAAATTTAATCATCAAAACCAGTTTTAGAGACATAATCCCAGATTCAAGGTTTAAAAGGCCCAGCAGAAAAACATGTATTTGCTCAGGGGCCTCAGGACCCCAGGAGGTCCAGGGAGCCTGGAGCAACCATTGCTGCCTCCTCCTGGCACACCAGGGGAAGGGGCACTAAAATATATCAGCTTTTTTTAAAATGAGATATGGCCAAGGCTACTTCAACAATCATAGGGTTTCTCTGGGTTTATTTTGACCCAAGTATTTTTAAGTAATCTCAGTATAAATTCTGGCTAAGTCTGTCTCTACCTGAGCCTGGACAAATGGTACTTGCTTAGCCCCAGCAACATAATTTGGGGCCACACTTGCTATATTCACAGGTGTTAGAAATTCTGATACTGACCCACAGTACCTGAACTCTCCTGGAACGTATTTGAATCCATATATCCATATTCAAATCCATATACTGCCCACATTAAAACTGGCAGGAATATCCTTTGCTCAGACAGAAACACAATGAAATCAGGTTTGCTGAAACCACATCCAACCACACTGAGCTCCTTCCCAGGCAAGGAATGAGACACTTTACAGGAAAAAACCTAAATCTGATCTGAACTGCCTTTGCTCTGGGTGAGGCCCCTGCTACCCAAATTAGTCAGGATGGTTTGGGTGGGAAGAGACCTTCCAGGGACATCCTGTCCAACCCCTGCAAAGAGGGATGTCTCCAACTGGATCAGGCTGAAGACCATTCTGTAAGGTCAATCCACTTCCACCCAGAACTGCCAACCTCACCCTGCTCTTGTGGGACAACAAATGTGAACAAGCTCAGGAACTGCAGCTGCAGAGAGAGCCCAGGGAAACTTCAGGTGTATCTGAACCTGAAACCTGACAAACACCTGAAAAATGTACACACACCTCTGCCAGGAGAGCAGATTCCCCACTGACAACACTGAAGAATTCCATTTTCTCTCTTCTTCCAGCGACTCTGACTGGATAAATTACTGTTTTAAGAGGGCTGACTGGAAACTCTACATCCTCAAGAGGCTTGAGTCTGCTGATCCATTTCTGTGAAATTCCCCTTCTGTGAAATTCTCTTTCTGTGCAAGGCTGAGCCAGTGGGCAGAGACACAAAACTCTCACAGCAAAGCAGAGAAATGACCATGTGAACTGAGGAGCCCAAAGCTGTGACTGACCAACAGCATCACTTCTCCACTCAGGGCAGCTTGGAGCACCGTGTTCTCATCTTTGCTCACAAAACCTCTGTCAGTCACAGGGTGCTGGAGAAATTTGATTAAACTTGGGACTTCCAAGCTCAGTGGCCATTTTTCAGGAAGCTGCAGCTTGGCCAGTGGGTACCAGCAAGTAACAAGGGTGGTCTTTGTGAATGTCACAGGAACATCACCAGAGAGGTACACGGGGAGGTGCAGCAAAGCCTAAGAGCAGCCAGGGCAACAGAGCAGGGCACTACAGACAGGGAATGCCCAGGGCTCCACCCCATGGCACTGCCAACAGGGGAGGGATGCAGAACTGCCATGGCACTGACAATGGGGCAGAGATCCAGAACTGCCATGGCACTGACACCAGGGCAGAGATCCAGAGCTCCCCGTGGCACTACAGTGGAGAACAGATAACCTGTGACACCTTCCTTGGGACTCACAGGCTCGGCACAAACGGCCGTGCCACAAACACATTCTGCTACACAAACAATCTCTCACCACTTTCTCCATTTCTTCTCTCTCCCACTGAGTGGCTTCTCTCACCATTTCCATCTCCTAGGAGAGAGCAGAGTTAGAGCCACCTCACCCCGTGCTCTCTCCACACCTGCAGCATCCAGGACCTCACGAAGGTGTCACAGTCCATCCTAGCATGTTCCTGATCCACGTGCTGGGCCATGCTGACCCCAGGCCGTGCCCACTGCACAGCACACTGCAGGCTGCATGCACCAAGGGAGACTTCCAGAGACTGCTTCCACTCTGCCAGGTGCTCCCAGCTCAGGCACACCTCCACCCACCTTCTGCAGGATCTCCAACTCCTCGGGGCTCAAATCCCGGTCGATGGAGGAGATGCTCTCCAGGCTGTTCTTGCGCCCAATGCCAGCAGCAAAAGGGTTGGCAATGATTCCTGGGGACATCTGCAGAGCAAACAGCAAATCAGTGATTCCTGGGGACATCTGCAGAGCAAACAGCAAATCACTGATTCCTGGGGACATCTGCAGAGCAAACAGCAAATCACACCTGGTGGAAGCCACAGAATTCATTCCAGAGACTCCCTATTCCTCCACCATCTAAACCCCACACTGCTACAGCTGGTGCCAGCCTGGCTGGGCCCCACGTGGGGCACTGCGCTGGCCCCAGGGCCTGCCCTGCAGGCTCACCTCGATGGCAGCAGCAGCCTTGGGGTCGAAGCCGTCGCAGACCAGCACGAGCAGCGCGTCGCCCACGGCGCGCAGCACCTGCACGGCCTCGGTGTGCGTCATGCCCAGCAGGCTCTGGTGGTTCACCTCCAGGATCCGCATCCCCACCTGCAGGCGGCCGTCCCGGGCAGCGGCCCCCGAGGAGCTCACCTGCAACACACCGAGGGCCACCGGAGCTCAGAGGAGACACGAGAGCCTGGGGACGGCACACACAGGGAACGGGGACAACAGCCCGCGGCTGCAAGGCAGGGGAACAACCTCCAATGCTATGGAGAGGGCAGAACAGGAAGAACCTGTACAGGCTGGCGGAGGGTGTGGAAGAATCTTTTGTGTGAGATAAAAGAATGTGAATTTGAAATCTGTTGTCCCAAGGAAAGAACTGGGTGAGAAGGAAAAGCTGTCACGATGCATCTCACGGAAAGAGAAATCATTTTGTGGTGGTAGAGACATGCAACAGAAATGTAAATGAAGACAAACTAAGGAGGAAGGAGGCAGGGATCAGACATGCAAAGAGGAAGAAAAGGAAAAGCACCACTTTGTCTCCTGGTTACCAAAAATATCCAGGGAAAATCAGAGGCAGGAAAACCCCTCCAGACAGGACAGATAAGAAAGGCTCAGGGGAGTAACACAGCTCAAGGGAGAGCAGGGAAGTTCAGGATTTTGGTTCTCTGCAGGCTAAAACAAGTGTTGGGAAAACAGGGAGGGGAGATGGGGTAAACTAACTCTGTGCCATGGCTAAACTGTGAACCTTTCACCCCCAAATCCTGTAATGGTGCAGGAGAGAAAAACCAGACCAAACTATTCGAAATAACTGTCAGTTAGAATAATCCCAGGTTTTCTTTTCCTGCTGTTACAAATGTTCCAGGTGAACATGCAACTCTCATTCTGAAAGAGGGAATTTATTTTTAGAACTCAGATAAAACAGTTACAGCCACATAACAACAAATGCTGAATGTTCCCTTGCCTTAGCAGCAACCAATTATCAATTATCAGGGCTGACTGCCAATTATGGAGTGTCTTCAGCCATGAGGATAACTCACATCAGTTTCTACCCCAAAAAAAACAGCTAAAAGAGGGAATCAGTGACAATAAAGTGAACAGCCAGAGTCCTCTTTGTCAGCAGCAAGACCAAAATGACACCACTTATTGCTGTGCTCTGCTGCCAGTGAAGAAGAAGCAATAAAAACTTTTTGGAAAGGGTTGGGAGGAGCAAAAACTGATAAGCATAAGCACAAGTTGAACAAGAAAACGTGTAATTTCTGGAGGAAAACTGATCTGAGAATTTTGTGTGACACAAGCAACCACCTAAGAAAGTAACACAGATGGTGCATGGCACAGGAGAAAAGGTTAGGAATTCCCCATGCTTTCCATGGAAGGAGGAAAGAGCTTGCATGTCTAAGTGGGCAGGAAGGGACAGGCACAGGGGGACCAACAGGAATGTGGGTACAAGGAAAGATGTGTGGGTTTGCATTATAGAAAAAAACACAAGAGAAGAAACACAAAGCAAAATAAAGGCAAGCAGGAAATAAAATAAGAAACTGTGAAGCTGCTGTAGAGGAGGAAATATGCAAGGACAAAGACTTGTCTCCTTTGCTGGAGGGAGAATCTCCAGAACTGATGCACGAGTGAAAGCTGAGAGCACATTCCAGCAGCTCCCCCAGGGTTCACCCTTCTCCCTGGCAGTGCCTGCAGAGGTGGTGCTCTGGTACCTTGGAGATGAAGATGCCTTCATCAGTGGGATCAAACGGATTGCCAGCATGGCCCTTGGCTCCACCCCGGATGCTGATGCCCAGCTTCTCTCCTGGAGCCTTTTCAATGCATATTTCCTGGAAACACAGAAGAGTCTCCTTGTTTCTGAGCCAAGTTCAGCTGAGAGAACACTCCTTGGAGTGACCACAGCTCTAAATGCCCTGAAAAGGGCCTGAATCAGCCCCATCCCTCATTTGGCAGTTTATTCCTGCTGGTGAGGACCTGCCCTTTTCTGTTCCCTGGTGACAGAGTCTCCACAGCCACGGCAAGAGATCCTCATCACGTCCCAGCTGGAGACACACTTAAAAGTGACTGGATTCTGCCAGAGCAGTGGTGCCTCAGGTTTTAGCTTGTGTATTTTTCAGATTCTATTCTGCTGTAGTGTGTGGGTCTGGGCTTCATATGATGGGATGGTGAGCTCTCTTCACAGAGTAGGGAGATAGAACAATTCCTTCTCTAGCTGGGCACCCAAGGACAAATGATCTAATTCTCAGGCCCAAGAGCACAATGGTGGACTGATGAGAGAAAAACAAGAAGGATGGGACTTCACAGGCTAAAGCTCTAATTGGACAATTAGCTCCAATATGCTAATGGATGAAAACTTACACGTGGCATTCACATTCTCCAAAAAATCCCTTCACCCAGGATTTTTCTGGGAAACTGAGAAGTCTCAGAAAAAAAGGAAAACAATTACTATCTCATTTGCTTCTCCTCTGTTTTGCTCATGTGGAATGTGTTTGGACATTGTTTCATTGGTTTCATGTGAGTTGTTTTGACTCAGTGGTCAATCAGGGCCAAGCTGTGTCGAGACTCTGGGAAGAGTCATGAGTTTTCATTATTACCTTTTTCATTATTACCTTTTTAGCATTCAGTAAGTATCCCTTCTGTATTCTTTAGTATAGTATAGTATATTATTCTTTAATATAATATAGTATTATAAAATAATAAATTAGCCTTCTGAGAATATGGAGTCAGATTGATCATTCCTCCCTGCCACAAGGGCCCATGCAAATTCAATACTTATAGAAGTGTGACACCCCATGACTGGTCATCCATTTTTGTAACTATCTTGGGTTCATCTTGGGCATATGCCTGTCTGGGCTCTTGTGCTGCCCAAGGTGGATCTACTGAGATCTCCTAACAAATCCTTACTTTATTCTTTAGCTCCATCTAGCCTCTGTTCTAGGTCAGCCTTCACAAGGCATCAGGAGAAGGAAATTCCAGGAGTCTGGCTGTATCCTAGTCCCAGGCCTCCCCTGTGGAAACCCAGGGCACAGGGAATATTTCTCTGTCTGCTCTGGGGTGCTCTGGCTTGATTCTGTCTCTGTCTCAACTACAACAGTCCATCTGTCCTTGGAGATGTGACTGTGTCCCCAGGCACCCTCCAACACCCTGCAGGCCTGTTCCAACTCCTCTCTCTGCAGACAAAACTCCCCAAGAGGTGACACATGTGGGAACACTGGCAAAGAATGAAGTGGGATGTGCTTTGAAGTGATATTCCATACGTAATTCTTATATTCCAAATTTAATCTGAACCAATCCTGTGCCAGTGTTGCCATTATTTTGCCTGTGACTGTAACAAGGACTGACAGCACCAGTACTGCTCCAGTCCTCACCCAGTGCTCTACAGGGGCTCCTGAGAGCTGAACATATAACCAAACCTGTGTTCCTGGTGAAACAAAGGAGTCAGCAAGGAAATCTGTGAGCACATGGGACACAGGGATGGTGGGAAAGAGTCAGTTAGGCTTTGAGAAGAGCAAATCCTGCCTCACTGACCTGCTGATGCACTGCAAGAAAAACCATGGGCACATGAAGGAAGAGGCCTGGCAGGCATCACTCCTAGAATTCCAAACAGCCCTCAACAAGGTGTGAACCCAGCCACAGGTGTCAGAGGAGTCAGGTTCAGCACCTCCAAGTGACAAGAGAAGTCAGGAAGCAGACGGGGCCCTGCAGGGATGTCCTCTCCAGCATCCTTATTCCCAAGAGCATGTGAGGGAATGGGCAGCAGCCAGTGGCCAGCCTGTGTGCTGCCCCTGAACGGCATCACCACTGGAATGGGAACGTGGGATCAAAGGACACTGGCCTGAGTGCAGCAGAGCAGCTCTGGGTGCCCCAGCAGCCACACACTCTCCCCCTTTCTGCAATGCCAGCATCTTCCCAGGACTCATTAAAGCCAACATGAACCCAGCAATTTCAAAAGCTGACTGGGATCCCTCCAAAGGCTCCAGCATGGATTATAAAGGTCTGAGGCTTTTCCATGCCCTCAGATGGCTCCAGCAGCAGCACTTGCAGTACAAACAACCCTTCACACATCTCTGTCCTATGCCCTTATTTCACAAATCCATCCTGTACATCTGGACTCACATCAAAATCCTTCACCTTAATCCCAATAACCAACAGCTCAGGAACACCCAGAGCAGCTCTCCTGAGAATCTACCTTGGAGATGAAGACACCTGGCTCATGGATCCCAAAGGGATGGCTGGAGTGGTCACTGCCTCCAACGATGCTGAGGCCCAGGGGACCACCTGCTTTCACCAGGTGGATTTCCTTAAGGGAACAAGAAGGAGAGTCAAAGGCAATGAAGGATATCATATACAGACCACAAACACTGACAAACATGGAGTCAGGGGTGTTTTGCATGGGTAAGCACAAGGTGAACACTCATGGGACAAGGGGGCTCCCCATGTGGGACTCTGCAACCTGGAGAAGAGCTAGAATGGGGCTCCAAGAGAGCTGGAGAGGGGTTTTGGACAAGGACCTGGAGTGACACAAGGGGGAACAGGTTTCCCCTGAAAGTGGGCAGGGTTAGATGGGATACTGAGGAGAAATCCTTCCCTGTGAGGGTGGGGAGGCCCTGATACTGGTTGCCCTGAGAAGCTGTGGCTGCCCCATCCCTGGAAGTTTTCAAGACCAGCTTGGACAGGGCTTGAAGCAAGCTGGGGCAGTGGAAGGTGTCCCTGCCCATGGCAGGGGGTGGGTCTGGATGGGCTTTTACCCTTCCACCCTAAGCCCAAGCCTTTCTACGACGGCACCTCCCAACACCCGGCAGGCCGGTCCCCATCACAACGCCGATCTTTCAGGACTGCGCCCTGTCCCCCAAAGCGCAGCTCACCTCGACAGGGTACTGATCCTCCATCCCTCTGCAGAGGTGGTTCCGGGGCGGCGCTGGCGTCTCCTCGGGCGGGCTGTCCCCGGGGCCGGGGGGCGGCGGCGGGGAGTGCATGCGCCCGCGGGGCGAGCCTCCCTCGCCGGGCTGCTCCGCGCCCTCTCTCTCTACCAGCAGCACGATGGTGGGGGAGGCCGCGGTAAGCAGCGCTACGGCCTGATCATGCCTGGCTTCTGTCATGTCTACCCCATTGATCTAGAACAAAGCCGGCGTCAGAGCGGCCCCGCGGCGCTCGGCCGAGCCCTGGGAGCCCTGTCCTGCCGGCACTGCAAACGCCTGTGCCCCAAAGCACCTCGTGGTCGCCCAGCTCCCTTGGACCTGGCAGAGGGACACAGGCACCTGTGTGCTCCCACTGACCCCAGTTCCCTTCCTACTCAGCTCTCCTGTCCCTTTCCCCCGTTCCCTCACAAGGTGCTCCAGGGGACCACGCAGGCCAGGGGTGATGTTCCACCTCCCACAGCCAAGTGTCTCCACGTGGGAGAAGCAAAACCAGCGGTTTCCAGCAGCACAGGCACGTGCAGAAGCACCTGCTGCCGTGCCACCGAGCCACCTGCCCTCATCAGTCACCCAAAGCCCCGTCACTGGCACTGCGGGCACGTTTGGTGGCTGACAGTGACCATCAGTGTCACTGGTCACTGCCCCACTGGCTGCCCGTGCTGCGCCAGGTCATGGCAGCCAGCTCTAAGGCATTACAAGTGACCTCAGGTACAGAGAGATCTGAAAGAACAGAGAGCCTTTCCTACAAAATTAAGATTTAAAACTGCCTCCCTAGCAACTCAAAGGACTGGAAAGGACATGACTGCTTTCCATGGATGTATAAGGGGCAGAAACCTGAGGAGAGCTGAGCTGAGAGAACACAGCCAGAACAACAAAACTAGACAGGAAAAAGTTGAAGCTGAAAATTAAAAGGTTTCTAGTCATTAGGTGCTGGAAAAGCTTTCCAAAATGAGCAAAGAGGACATGATAAAAGGAGCTGCCAAGATGGGCTTTGATCAGCTCATGAAGTAACAACATGGCTGTAACAGTCGTAGCAATTTGGCCTTGTAGGCCAACTCCCCACTGCCCCTGATTCCTAGAAATATTATTGTAACTCCCCAGCTCCTTCCCAGAGAGCAGTTTCTGGACTAAGCTGCATGCAGGGCTTTGTCCTGACCCTCTGTGACCCTCCCAGCTCCCACCTGTCCTGTCCCTCCCATGGCTGTGGGCACTGCTCTCCTCAGGACAGCGAGGGAGAAGCACAGCCCTGTGCTGTCCTGGGAACTACAGCAGTGTCACCTCTGCTGAGAGCACTGTCCCCAAAGGACACCTCTGGCATGAACCAGAAGGATGTCAGGGCAGCAGCTGGCACGTGCCTGCAGGAAGAGGAAGGAGGAGAGGGACCTGGGCAATGGCTGCTGAGCACAGGACAGGGCACCGAGCAGGAAAGGTGACAAATTCACCACACAGGTGCACAGCCCCTAAGGGAGTACAGGTTCAGACACCCCCAGATAGATCCTCAAAGAGTCATCAAAAGCAATCACACAAAAGAATCACCACATTAGAGCAGTGTGACCAAACCTGGCAACCAATCTGCAGAAGAAATGGAGATTACAAAGGGCTGTCTCAGCACATCTCTTGTAGGAAAGGGCCAAGTGGCTGCAGGAAGCTTAAGGAGGTGTTGTGGGAATATGCAGCACTCATTATGGGACATTTAGCAGAACAGAAAGAGGACTGGAGGTGAGGAACAAGCATGGGGAATACAGGGGAGAACAAGAGGCTGCTGGTCAGTGCTGGTCTGGCCAAGCCCTGGGCCTGAGTGCACATCTGCTCTGCTTTCTCCCCACATTCTGTATTTACTGGGCCAGTTCACTCTGCTCTGGGTACAGAATAGAACTCTGGGTTCACTTTGTTCTGGGTACAGAACAGAACTCTGGGTTCACTTTGTTCTGGGTACAGAACAGAACTCTGGGTTCACTCTGCTCTGGGTAGAGAACAGAACCCTGGGTTCACTCTGTTCTGGGTACAGAACAGAACCCTGGGTTCACTCTGCTCTGGGTCCAGAACAGAACTCTGGGTTCACTCTGCTCTGGGTACAGAACAGAACTCTGGGTTCACTCTGCTCTGGGTAGAGAACAGAACCCTGGGTTCACTCTGTTCTGGGTACAGAACAGAACCCTGGGTTCACTCTGCTCTGGGTCCAGAACAGAACTCTGGGTTCACTCTGCTCTGGGTAGAGAACAGAACCCTGGGTTCACTCTGTTCTGGGTACAGAACAGAACCCTGGGTTCACTCTGCTCTGGGTCCAGAACAGAACTCTGGGTTCACTCTGCTCTGGGTACAGAACAGAACTCTGGGTTCACTCTGCTCTGGGTACAGAACAGAACTCTGGGTTCACTCTGCTCTGGGTAGAGAACAGAACCCTGGGTTCACTCTGTTCTGGGTACAGAACAGAACCCTGGGTTCACTCTGCTCTGGGTCCAGAACAGAACTCTGGGTTCACTCTGCTCTGGGTACAGAACAGAACTCTGGGTTCACTCTGCTCTGGGTACAGAACAGAACTCTGGGTTCACTCTGCTCTGGGTACAGAACAGAACTCTGGGTTCACTCTGCTCTGGGTACAGAACAGAACTCTGGGTTCCCTCTGCTCTGGGTACAGAACAGAACTCTGGGTTCACTCTGCTCTGGGTACAGAACTCTCTGTGGAGAGCTGCTGGTAAAACTCAAGCTGGACTAGCCAGCAAATATGAATCCAAAACGTGTGAAGACTCAAGAGGCGGCCCAGAGGCGGGATGAAAGGCTCGGGTCTGACCCAAGAGCTGGTAAGAGCTGGCTGCTGGAGCAGAGGCTGGAGAGCTGCTGCAGGAGCACTGTGGGCTGAGGGAGGGAGGATGTGTGCCATCCCCCAGCAAGCTGAACCCTGCTGAGCCAGAGGAGGAGCTGGCTGTGCTCCTGCCCTGTGAGCACCCCTGTGCTCAGGTGTGTACCTGTACCTGTACTGCCCCTGGGACCAGCTGTGTCTGCACCCTCCCCTGCTGACGGCTGCAGCTGGGAGCAGGGAAAGCAGCAGCTGTGTGTGCAGGGGACTGGGAAGAGAGGATTCCTTGGGTCCTCTGATGGTTAACAAAGGCAGCACGCAGGAGAGACTTGGCTCTTTGTTTTTATCACCACACCAAGGCCAAACATGCTCATTGAGAGGGAGCAAGATGAATTTTAAGGTCTCTTCCAAGCCAAGCCTTGCTCTGACTGCATGACACTGCACACACAGAGCTGCTGCAGCACTCTCATTCCTCACATCACCTCTGCTGTTTTGCTGCCCCTGACAGGATGAGAGGGGTCAGATGGGGTCAGACCAGCAGGGCACAGCAGTGCATCCCTGGAGCAGGGAGCAGGGCACAGGACTGCAGGAGTCAGGGCTGTCTCAATGTAACAGCCCCTGGACCACTTCAGCCAGTAACTCTCCCCTGCCTGGAATCCTGGGGGCTACCCAGCTTTTGGGGCAGCTAATTTTCCATGGCCTTTATCTAGCTAGAGAGCAAGGCCAGCCATGCAGCATGGCTCTCTGAGTGCCATGGGGAAGGGACAGTGTCTGTCCTTCCCCTGCTCCACATGTTTCTCTGTGTGCCAGGGAATTATATTATCCTGGCAAATCTCTAAAGGGTCACACTGCATAATTAGGATTCCACATGTCACCCACCACTATCCTACATCTCCCCACAGTCAGTTTTCTTCTCAGTCTGATCCCAAAAAAATCAGCTGCCCTTAGCAACTGCTCCCAATACTGCACCCGCCCTGCTGGATTCCCATCCCACAGCTCCAAGTCTCCAGCAGCCCCAGCAGGTCCCTGCCCAGTGTCTTCCCCCCGCAAAATGACTCCCAAGAGACACAGGAACACAAATGAGGCATGTTGAGGGGTGTTAACTCAGGGGAGACCTAGCTGGGCTCTTCAATCCCTGTGCTCAAAGCTCTCCTAAGAAAGTCAAGGGAGCATTCCTAGTTCTTCTCCTGAGGAGAAGTCCAGGAGGATTTAGAGCACAGGGGAAGAGCAGGAAGCTGTGCTGTATTTGTTTTCTTAAGCAAACAGAATTCTTTGGTAAAGTGAGAGCTGAGCATGACCAGGAGAGCATGGCTTTGGAAATGGGCCCTGTACCCAGACAGGGTCCTCCCCTTCCCCATGCAGATACAGGCAACCTGCACCCACATCCTAAAAACCATGGCATCGTGAAAGGTTTCCAATAAAAATGGGCAATTGCTGCTTCCAAAGAGTGTGGTAAGCAGGCTTGGGAGTCCTGGGAGTAATCCTGGGAGTGTTCTCCTGAAAGGTGGCATGTTCCTGCACTCCTCGGAGGTGAGCATGGGATCTGAGCTCCAACTGGTGCTCAGCACCAATCCTCTATGACAGTGACACACACCTCAGCACAGGGACCTGAGGGGATCCCACTGGGGGTGTCAGGAATGATGACCAAACCTCCATGGTCACACACAGCACAGGGAACAGAGGGGACCCTGCTGGGGTTGTCAGGAATGACCAAACCTCCCTGGTCACACACACCTCAGCACAGGTAGCCATGGGGACCCTGCTGGGGGTGTCAGGAATAATGACATCAATGCCTCAGCCACATCAAAATCCAGCAGAGGCTCCAGCTCTGTAAGCCCTGAAGTCACACATCCCATAAGGAATCCACTGCAAGCTATTACTAGGGAATTAGATCTGCTTTTCCTACGAAGCTGCCCATGGATATAAATAGAGCTGCTGAAGCAGGGTGGAGGCAGGTTTGACTTTTGAATCTGTTCTAAGGTTTTGTGTCTCCTTTTTCCACAGGTTGAGCAAACCAACCCCAAATGATGAGCCTCAGTACTGCCTCCGTACCATGGAGCATCAAAACATGAGCAAATCCAAAACAATCCAGTCTATCTGGCATTAATCAGGGTCAAGGCTGGATTTCGGGCAGTGGGGAGCACTAGAAGGCAGTGAGAGATGCCATACCAGCTCAAGCTTCCTGACAAGACACCAGTGTCAGACCTGGGCCCAAGCTCCACTAAAATGTTGTGCCTGAGCAAACACGAGCCAGCCCCAGCCCAGGGATAGAGCAGACAGAAGCCAGCACTGACGAGGCTGTATCAGTGTTTACTCACGCCAGCGCTGGGGTAACACGTGCTCTTACCACAGCGCTGGGCCAGAAACCCACCACCAGCACCAGGAGCTGGAGGTTTGCCAGAGGCAGCATGCGAGCGTGGGAAGAGGGTCAGGAGGCTGAGGAGAGGCTCCCACAGAGGGCAGTGAGGACCAGGAGGCAGAGACACGAGGTGAGAGCAGTGAGATCCGCAGGGACAGCACGGCAGAGCCCCACGGGAAGCAGGGAAGCACTGGGGTACCCCTGCCCTGCTCCACAGCACCCCTGGGCAGCTCCTTCCGCTCCAGCCCACCCCACTGTGCCCCAAGGGGCTCCCCCTCCCCGTGGCTGAGCCCCCCAGGCTCCAGAGGGACACCAGGCTGGGCAGTGCTGCCGTGTCCCCTCCCTCCACACCATGCCTTGCATGAAGCATTTGGGGAAGGGGGAGGTGTAACTGCACCCACCACCACACAGGGGAGAACCACCCCAATTAAACGCTCTCCCAGAAGGCTCAGGAGCTGAAAAAGGGAGTCCCAAAATGCAGCTCCAGTAGCAGAGAAGCAGCCCTGCAGGAGGAGGGCAGGCAGCCGGGCCAGCCCCTCCCTTGTGCCCGCACTCACCGAGATGACTCGGTCTCCGACGCGCAGGATCCCGTCCCGGTGGGCTGCCCCACCCTCTGCGATCCGCGAGATGAAGATGCCCTGCAGCACAGGCACGAGGGTCAGAGCAGCCCGGCTGTCCCCGCCTGAGCCTGGCCCTCCAAACCCAGGCTGGTCTCAGTCCTCTCCCCCCACAGACCTTCCCCCTGCCCTGATGCTCCCTGTCTGCTCCCCACTCCACACAACCCCTCTGCTCCCAGAGCCCCTGGCAGCCAAGTCCTGCCGTGGCCCAGAGCCTGGAATCTGTGCCAAGAGGGCAGCAGTGGGATTAGGTGTCACTGGCAGGGACTGGGAGCCCCAGCCACCCCCCTTCTATAAAAAAGAGGGAGAGGGACTTGGACAAGGGCCTGGAGTGACAGCACAAGGGGGAATGGCTTCCCAGTGCCAGAGGGCAGGGATGGATGGGATACTGAGAAGGAATTGTTCCCTCACAGGGTGGTTTGGCCCTGGCACAGGGTGCCCAGAGCAGCTGTGGCTGCCCCCGGATCCCTGCAAGCGTTGAAGGCCATGGCGGGCAGGGCTTGGAGCAACCCGGGACAGTGGAACCTGGCCACCACAAGGTGAGGTTTAAGGTCCTTCCAAACACAAACCATCCTAGAATTCTGAGATTCCCTGACTGTAGAGCACCCAGCCCACCAGCCCAGGGCCGGGCTGCACTGCTGCACGCCCGGGGACGAGGAGGATCGGGGCCCCAGGGCTCAGACTGACCGTGTCCCCAGCCCGGTAAGGCGTGGAGCCCTTGCCGCCAGCGATGCTGAAGCCGAGGCCCTTCTCGTTGCGCATGAGGCAGGTGGAGAAGCGCTCGGTGGCCGGGGCCGGCTCGGGGCCCTCGGGGAAGCGCAGCCCCCCGCGCCGCTCCCGTGGGCTGTAGTCGTCCTCGGGCCGCAGCGGGGTGACGGTGATGGCGTTCTCGGGCTCCACCATGCGCTCCCGCAGCACCGTCATGGACACCGAGCTGCCCGAGCCCCGCAGCGCCTCCACGGCCACGTGGTGCTCGGCACAGTGCAGCGACACGCCGTTCACCTGGGCAGGGACAGCGGCAGCCGGCGCTGACACAGGGCCCCAAAAACCACAGAGCCCGGACCTCACACAGCCCCGGCCTCACACACAGCCGGCCCTGAACCAGAGCCCCAAAGAACAGAGAGCCCGGGCCTCACACAGCCCCGGCCTCACACACAGCCGGCCCTGAACCAGAGCCCCAAACCCCAACCCCAGCCACTGCTGCCCACGGGAACTGGCTCAGCCCCTCACACCCCACCTGGGCCCTGCTCCCACAGGTGTGCCCACACCTCTGGGAGTTTTCCCTGCATTCCCACAGCACTGCTGCCTGTCCCAGGCCAGGGCAGCCAAGGAAAGGCCCTTTCAGAGGAATTCCTTCACCACAGGGAGTCCTGAATTCCCTACACCTGTTTCACCCTACAGGTAACATCCCAGACAGAACCCCCCACAGAACCACCTCCACCAACAAAATTCAGCACAATTCAACACAACTCAGGTCGACCCTTGTCCATCTTCCAGAAGGGACATGCACCTGCCCACACCCTTGGAACACCCGGAGCTGTCAGTGTGACAGTTCCCAGGTGTGGGGAATGTCATGGAGCAGATCATCCCGAGGGTGGCACGTAAGGGAGAACCAGGGGGTCAGGCCCAGGCAGCCTAGGCTAGTGCAAGGTGTACCTGCCCATGGCAGGGGGTGAAATGAGATGTTAAGGTTCCTTCCCACCCAAACAATCCCCATGCTGGCTCCCTGCGTAAGAAGTTATTTACAGGGTTCACTTTTGCTCTGCCCAGTGAATGAATAAATATCACTGTATTCTTGTATTGTATTTCTTCCCACCTGGGCCACACAACAGTTCAGAGCTGGACCAGAGTAAATGCAGGAGCTTATAAAGCAACAAAAGATTCATGGTAACATGAATTAAACAACTATCTCTGAGCCAAAGGGATTTTGTTTAGCTCTTACACATCCCTAATGCTTAACTTGGTCTAAAACACTTATGATGCTAGTCCATTCCCAATCACCTCACACCTCCCCTCCAAGCTCTCAGAAGCATTTGCTTTGTCAGAAGTCAGTCCTTACCTCCAGGAGCTTGTCACCAACACGGACCCCTGCCCGAGCTGCAGGACCCTCCTCAGACACACGGGAAATGAAGATGCCCTGGAAACAAAACCTCTGTTCTATGGAGAGCCCATTCCTGCCGAGAACCCCCTGGCAGGACTACCCCAAGGTGACAAGAGGGACAGGAACCCCACTGCAGGGCTGCCCTAAGGTGATGAGTGGGACAGGAACCCACGGCAGGGCTTCCCCAAGGTGAGCAGGGGGACAGGAACCCACGGCAGGGATGTCCCAAGGTGATGAGTGGGACAGGACCCCACTGCAGGGCTGCCCCATGGTGATGAGTGGGACAGGAACCCCACTGCAGGGCTGTCTCAGGTGAAACACAAGACCAGGGAACGACCCCTTAACCCTGTTCCAGTGGAACTGGAATCACACGATGCAGCTGAGGCCAGGTGGGGAGCAGCCCCACACCCTGTGCCCCACAGCTGGGGAGGAACCCCCCGCTCCCACGGCTGCTCCAGCTCAGACCATCCTGGCTCAGGGGCAGGAGTCTGCTCCAGCCCACCAAGCCCCCCGTGGGGGCACCCAGGGCTGCTCCCACCCGGCCCCACAGCTCCCACGGAGGGACACAGCTGGGAGAAGCAGTCCCCAGCAGTGGCAGGGCCCAGGCCTTACCTCGTCATCCCCCTTATAGGGCGTGGAGCCCTTGCCCCCCGCGATGCTGATGCCCAGCCCCCCCGTCTGCCGCACGATGGTCAGCGTCAGCTGCAAGCACAAGGGACAGGGCACGGGTCAGGGCACAGGGGACAGCTCTGCTCAGGAGAAACAGCACCTCTGAGTCACCCTCTGGCACTGGGGGGGCCTGGCACCTGGGGGGGGCTGTGGCATCTGTGGGACACACTGGGGGGCATGGCACCTGTGGGACACACTGGGGGGGCTGTGATACATGTGGGACATACTGGGGGAGTTGTGGCACCTGTGGGACATACTGGGGGAGCTGTGGCACCTGGGAGGGGGCTGTGGCACCTGTGGGACTCACTGGGGTTGCTGGGACACCTGTGGGGGAGCTGGGACACCTCTGGGACACACTGGGGGAGTTGTGGCACCCGTGAGTGAGGCATGGCACCTGTGGGTGAGCCACGGCACTCATGCCTCAGAGGCAGCACCCCCACAACGCATGGAACACACAAATCCCTTCCCACAGCTGAGCCCTGGCCCAGCAGTCAGCTTGCCCAAGTGGACACAGCAGAGGGGATTCCACCACGAGGCAAACTGGGCAGCCATGGGCTGGAACTGGGTCACAGGACAGGGACAGGCTCACACCACAGCCTGGCTCTGCCATGGCTCCCCTTGAGTGTAATTCCAGCAGCCACTGAGGCACTCCAGGCCACCCCAGCGCAGTGCGCAGTGACAAGGGTGGCACCTTGTCCAGAACACTCTGGATGGACACTTGGCTTTGTTGTATTGATGGAAATCAACACACAGCTCCAAAAACCCCGTCTGCTCTGCTTCCCTCTGCCCCGGCTGCTCAGGATCACAGCTGAGCAATGCACAAGTCTTCTCCTTCCTGCCTCCCACCTCCACACACCCAGCCATGCCCACTGCCAACAGCTGAGGCTGTTTCTTTTAAGGACACCAGCATGAACCATTCCCAATGCCACAGTCACGAGAAGGAAGACACGGAGCACGTGGTAGGACACAGGGAAAGGAACAGGACAGACAGGGCTCTCTCAGGGCCAAGGACCAAGGGGCTGGTGAGCTAAGTGACAGAAGTGAGCACAGACTCCTCCAGAGAACCAAGCTGGCTGTCCTCCTTGCCAATCACCTCTTTAGAAACAAAGCCCAGGATGGAGAGAGGCTGCTGCAGAGATGTCAAGTGTCAGTGTCAGCTGCACATGGCCACAGCATGGGCAGCACAGGAAGCAGGAGATTACCTTCCCTAACACTTCCCTCCCAAGCCTCTTTCATTTCTGCAATGACTGAACCAACGTCTTGTGGAGCTCCACATTCTGCTAAGGTTGAAACAAAAACCAAACCTGAAACAAGCTGAGGTGCTCTGCTCTGCTCTGCCAGGTCCTCTGGTGCCCAGCTAACAGCACAGCAGAACACTCAGGGATCTTCCCAGGAAAATCCCTGATCCCAGACCTACTAGTATATTTTCATTTTCGGAGCTAGGTCTCATAAGCTCTCGAAAGAAATATAATATACCCAAGGATAGCTCAACTACTGTTTTGGGGTCATAAATTAAGCAGGATGACTTCTGTTGCAGTGTTAGAAACAAAAAGGTTTAATAAAAGGCAAAATAACAAACAGAAAAACCCGAGCCAGGTGCAGAGGTCTGCTCCTGGTAAAAACACCTCACAAAAGCCCCTAGTTCTTTTGTTCTCTTCTTTTTCTACCTGATTGTTCAGGCAGGACTTTTTAGTTTCTATCTAATTAGATGCCCTCAAGTTTTTAGTGAAGTCCTTGAGATCCTATGAGGTGGCTTTTCACCTAATCATTGAGAGAAACTTCTGAGCTTCTTTCCTTTTTTGGAGGACAAAGGATAGTGCTGTCACTCTGTCATCAAGAAGCACACTCCTACAACCTACCATCACTTCACTGTCTCTGGTGCAAGAGCCAGAAACTAAGTAAAATTCCGAGTTTTGGAACACCCAAGTAAGACAGAAATGGGGTGGTGAGGAGACAGCAGCAAGACAGCCCAACTCAAACCAGCTCCTGACCAGACAATGTTTCTTGCACGACCATGTCTATTAGGAGCTAACTACAAAACCTATGTTTTTCCACCCAGACTCACGGGACTCTAGAAATGCTCTGAAGACTCACATCTGTATTGTCCAGGGAGTGCTCAGACCATGCTCTCAGGCACATGGGAGGATTTCTGCGGTTGTTCTGTGCAGGGCCAGAAGCTGGATTGATGATGCTGGTGATCAGGAAATTGTGTAATTCTACATTCAACACAGAAGCTTCTAAGGATGACAGCAAACCAGGGCTTCAGAGAGGGATCACAGGAATGACAGCAAACCAGGGCTTCAGCAGGGATCACAGGAATGACAGCAAACCAGGGCTCCAGGCAGGGATCACAGGCTGGTCTAAGAGCAGGATCCCAGAATTTCCCAGGTCTGCTCAGTGCCTGAATCCATTGGACAGGATCATGATTTTGGACAACAACTGAGGACTCCCTGATGCCACTGGTCACAGAAAGTCACTTCCAGCTGCATGGGAAGCTGATGCTGTAAACTAACAGAAAGATATGCCACACACCCCCTGGATTTCACAAATTCAGCAAACCAGTCTAAAACTATGGGGAAACCTGCCAGAAAAGCCAACTGGCCTGAGGAGGAAGAACTTTCATCAACATACACTGAAAAGCAAAACACCAAGGAGAAAAAAGGCCAGATTAAAAATACTGAGACAACTGCAGCAAAAGGGCTTGAATTAGATATAAATACACGTAGGCTGAAAAGATTTCAAACTCGCAAGGAAATCACACAAAAACCAGTGTGGTGAGGTTGGTGGATGTTTGTTTGAGGTCTGATGTGAACATGAGCCTCAAGAAGAAGGACCTGGATCCAGCAGCCTGGAATGGCCCTTCACATTGCAGCTCAGGCTGTTTCTGGCTCTAAACCCTGAAGCTGTTTGTTCCCCCAAGCTCCTCTTTCCTAAGGCTGCTCTTGGGCTGCCTGGACTGCCACAAAACCACACCAAAACCACTGAAACCACAGCACAGAGCTGCCCCAGCAGGGGCAGCTCAGCTCCCTTCGTGCCATTGCTCCTGCCATGGGCTTTACTGGGTAGTATTTTACTCTTTGTGTATTTTTCCCCCAAAGACAGGGATCTACCCACAGCCTGGCACCATCATATTTTCTAGAAAAATCCCTTTGCCAGGATTTCTCTCCTGAGAAGCTCAGAGAAAAAAAGAAAACAATATTATCTCATTTGCTTCTCCTGTGTTTTGCTGCTTTGGAATGTAGTTGGAGATTGTTTATCCAACAAGTGATTGTTTCATTGGTTTCTGCTCTGAATTATTTTAACTTATTGGCCAGCTGGGGCCAAGCTGTGTCAAAGCTCTGGAAAGAGTCACAAGTTTTTCATTAGTATCTTTTAACTTTCTGTCTGTATCCTTTCTGTATTCTTTAGTACAGTTTAGTATAGTACTCTTTAATATAATATAGATCATAAAATAATAAATTAGCCTTCTAAGAACATGGAGTCAGATTCATAATTTCCTTCCTTCATCTGGGAACCCTGCAAATAAAAGAACAGCCCATCTCGGATGATCTGATCTGTGCTGCTTCTCACCAAAACTCACTGCTTCTCCCTCTGCAGAAAGCACAAACCTTCATGGAGAGCACACCATGCTCCCAGGTCCTCAGCAAGGAACAGCAAGGAGCAGCAGAAGTGCTGCAGTGCCAGTGAAAAGCGAGGAAATTGGAAAAGCTGCCACATTTTGAGCTGCCATCCTTCCCCCTGGGCTCCCATTCACCATCAGAAGCATCAAACACGAGCCAGGGAAGCAGTTCCACTCTGTGCCCTCAGTGCTGCCTCTGGCCCTGCCTGTGCCTCTTTGGGGACACACCAAACATGTCCCGGGGCCACCTCAACCCAGCTCTCACATGGCTTTTGGTGTAACTGTCTTTGAACATGGAACCATGGAATGGTTTGGGTGGAAGGGACCCTGAAGCTCACCCACCCAGCCCTCTCTGTTAACAGAGTCCTCTGCTCCTGCAGGAATTCCCAGCCTTCAGAAGTAACTGCACACACCAGAGCTGCTGCACACCTGGACAGACTGCACACCTGGGTGCTGCCCAGGAGGTTTGGGACAGTCTCAATTTGCTGCTGTGCAACTCACCACTGAGGATTCCTGCAGCCTGCCAGGGGCACGGCAGACACCAACCATGGCACCCACAGCACTCAAGGGACAAAGCTCAGAGCTGCTGAAAATCCAAGTTCTTCCTCCAAACACACCCTCAGGAGTGGGGCTCAAGGGCTTCACACCCAGAAGATGAAAAGGCATCCATTTATAAATGGTTGTACATGTGGATGCACACAGCTGGGGTCAGTCTGGGGCCTCAGAACCAGAAAGACATTGAGGGGCATCAGCAAGGCCAGACACAGGAACAGAGCTGGGAAAGGTCTGGAGCAGCTGAGGCAGCTTGAGGGGGCTCAGCTGGAGAAAAGGAGGCTCAGGAGGGACCTCCTCAGTCTCTACAACTCCCTGACAGGAAGGTGGAACAACGTGGGGGTGAGGCTCTGCTCCCAGGGAACAAGGGACAGGACAAGGGCAAACAGTCTCAAGTTGTGCCAGGAGTGGTTTAGATGGGATACTGGGAAAATTCCTTCCTGTAAATGGCTGTCCAGCCCTGACATGGATTGCTCAGGACAGGGGTGGAGTCCTTAAATCTGGAAGTGTTCAAAAAACATGTGGATATGGCACCTGAGGACACGGTTTAGTGATGATCATGGTGCTGGTGCTGGGTTGATGGCTGGACTCGCTGATCTTCAATTCTTTTCCAACCTGATTCCCTGACTCTCAGTGCCCAGTGCTGGCATTTACACGTCCCAAAAGATTTATTTGAGCCTGTCATACTGACACAGGAGATGCACACTGCAATAAATGATTTGGATTTATGGTGGGACAGACGTGTGACAAGGGACAGGTGCCACGTGAAGGTGAGGGATCCCACTTCAACAGCAGCTGAAGAATCCATTAAATACCATCAACAACCTTTTCAAAAATCAAAAGGGCTGGACAACTTGTGTTC